AGCAAACCGGCGATGGTCTGGGTTACCCGGGTTCATTCATTGTTGGCGCATCGGCGGATCGGCAGGTGAAGCGTCGGGACATTTCGTTTGTCATCGCCGGGTGATTTTGTTATGTTGCATGCCATCCCTCCGGACTGCCCGTCGATCAGGGAGAAGGCGGCAAATACTTGGGTAGTATCTGTGTAGGTGTACAGCCACATAGGTAGGGAACCTCGTGGCGATAAACTTTCCTATTTCCGACACCACCGAGGCTGTGAGGTACATCGCCTTGTCCCCAAACGCATCAACCACTGTCATGAGAGGGAGAGGGTAGAGTTGGTCGTGTTGGTCGTCTGATGTGTCGCGCTGTCAACGGCGTCCGAAGCCACGCCATCAAGTTTCGAACCGGATGGGGGTCTAACCGTTCATGTTATCCTCCTCCCCTTAATCGAAAAAAAAGAAAAGAAGAAAAAAAGGAAAAAAAAAACCGCTCGGCTCTCAGAACGCCCGAATGTGTGGGCATTATCCCCGACGCCATTCCCCGCCGTTAGTCACCCATTATAAATCCCACAAGGCGCGGCTCACCGATGTCCTTTGTAGGGACAGTTCGAGCGGCTTGACTGTGCGTTTATGCGAATGTCAACTGCCGATGCTCAACCGGCGCAAGGAGCATGCTAGTCGGGTGGGCGGGCGAGCGGGCGGACAGATGGGCTCCGGTCCGACCCGCACGCGTCGAATAAAAAAAAGCGACATCGTGAAGAAAGAAGAAGAGAGATATTTTATTTCGAGACAGATCGACGTCCATCCCCCCTCAGTCGATGGCACATTACGGAGCAGGGGCCCTGGTTTCAGCCACTTTCGAGGTTCACCAGGTAAGGGCTCTGCAGGGGCCCAAAACATAAAACGGTGCAAGCCAGCCGGGCCCCATTGTGTGTGCCTGTGCGGTTGCAAGGGGGCGGAGCCTGCTGGCTGAATCGCGGGACGGGTGGGGGTCCCTCATGGCGGGGCAGTTGCTGCGCTCCAATCGGTTTGCGTCCTTTCAGCAGGCGTGTGGTGGCCCAAGCTCCCTCTACATAAAGAGAGAGAGAGCAGAGGGCTGGACTTTTTCGCTCTGCCCTACACGCGCGCGACATTCGACGCCAATTTGGTTTACGCACATGTGCCCGGGCTCAAGTCGCCCTGTCAATGCTGATATCAAGCCGAAAAAAGGGCGTCGTCTCGGTCATGCAGCCGCGCAAAGGGAACGTCTTTGGATCCGCGGTACCTGTCATCCATCTCGTCTTAGCCCCGGTGTATCTACCCTCCTAAGCCGGTTTAATTCAGCAGGCACATTAGATGAGTAGGGATTGCAGAAGTTCTTTTCACGTAGTGGCTTGATAATAGAGTTACCTCATCCGAAGCCCTTTTTCAGACCATTTGTTGAATTAAACCTGCATGAGAGGGTAGCTTGACGTGATGTGATTGTGACGGCTTGGAGAACAGACTTCGTCGGCCTCCCTCTCCTCTGGGACATGGGGGTTTCGCCGGGTGGGACAGGGGACCCACCCTTGGGATTCACCACATTGATGGATCTTATCTTCCGTGCTTCCTTCCAGGCCAGGACCCCATCTGGCGCGGTCTTGGTGTGTGGGGACCAGGCTGCCTGCTGGTCCCGGCAGCTTTTGTTGAGGGGTTGCACTATCATGGAGTCCAGCATGGCACTTAGCTCGGGTCCAAACAAGCCCAAAGCAACTCCTCGGACGACTCCGTGTGCCAACCGTCCGGGTCATCGTCACCTCTGTTCGGTCTAGCCTGGTTAGGGCTCGGCAGCAGAGGGGCCTTATGTTGCTGTCCCAGCCCACTCCCCGCTGCGCGTGACCAGCCCACGCCATCTCATCTCGTTAGTCCAAGCCTCTTTTTTTTCTTTCCTTTGCCTTTCTCGTCCGTTCTTTTCTCCCCCTCCTCCTGCACGCCATCTCATGCATGTCGACAACGGCGCAGGGTCCGTTCGCACCATCCGGAGCCCTTGAGTCACATTTGCCCTAGGAGATCTGACAAGTCGCCCTCGTCCGTGCGGTGTCTTTATCCATCTCCGATGCGGCTGTAGTCGAGGGTCAGCCCTGTCTTAATATTCCCTTCTTGTCGACCTCCCCCTTGCCGGTCCAAGGTCGCGTCGCCCCTTCTTAATACTACCTAATCTTTTTTTCTTCTTCCATCCCTCTTCTCTAGTTAGCGGTGTTCTTCCTTACACCCCGGCTTTCCTTCCCAGCGCAACTGCTGGACAGAAAAGATTGCCCTGGGCTTCCTTTCTTTTTTCGGCTTTTGTTTCTATTCATAGTCGCTGGTTCGATTATTTCCTTTTGAGCGCATTCATTTTTTCTCCTTTGGTTTTTTTTTTTCTCTTTCGTTTCTCCCGAGATACCCGGTCGACCGGCCTCTCGGTCAACTATACAGGATGGATAGGAATTCTATGTTGGATGCAAGCCTCCGGGCCGCCGAGGTTGTGGCGCGGCTGGAGAAAGAGGAGGCAAAGGATACGGCTATGGAGCAGGAGACCCCACGTGCCGCGGAAGAGGAGGAGAAGCCTATACCGGTAGTAAAGGACGCGTCAAAGGCCGAGAACGAGGCGCCCGAGACAAAGACGGAGACGGAGCCGGCACCGACGGCCGCCGCGGTACCTTCACCAAGCGCGATACCGTCCGAGGCGAGCGAGGAAAAGTCAGAGCTGGCGCCAGCACCCACACCACCACCCACGGCACCTCTACCGCCGGTTCCCACCCACTCCCGTCCGGGAACAGCTAGGAGCGGCGCGTCCACTGCCTCCCTCCCCACGCGACTGCCGCAACTGGCCCCTGTGCGCAGCCTCCCGGCACCCCGCCCTGCGCCGTTGCGAGGGAACCCGGCTACCGTGTCCGAGGCGTCGCTACCACAATCGACGAAGCGCCTGTCCTTCTCCTCGCTGGAGACGAGCAAGCGTCGTATAAAGTTCGGCAAGGGAAAGTACGCCAAGGTCGAGCTGGTGCCGCAGCCCAGCGACGACCCCGACGACCCTTTGAACTGGCCCATGTTGAAGAAGGACTCGACCTTTGGCGCCCTGCTGATGTCGGTTGCGCTGGCCGGCGTCATGAAGACGGCCCTGATTTCCGTCAACGTTCAGCTGGAGCAGACCCTCAACCGGTCCTACACCTCCATCGCCGCTCTGACGGGCATCCCCCTCATCCTTGGCGCCCTGAGCGGCATGGTGGCTCTGATCGCCTCCCGCGTCTGGGGAAAGAGGCCAGTGTATATCGCCGGGATGCTCACCATGTTCCTGGGCTGCATCATTAACACGGCGGCCCCAAATTACGACACCGCCATGGTGGCGCGGGTTTTCCAGGGCATCGGCTGGGGCGTGTTTGACTCCCTGGTGTTGGGGACCATCCATGACGTTTATTTTGTGAGCCAACTCCTCCATCCTTCCTCCGCCTTGAACGCTTCCTTACTGACCGTGTAAAAGGAGCACGAGCGCGGCCTGCGCCTTGCCATTCATCAGATCGTCTCGGTGGGCACGACCTGGGGTGGTCCCATCCTCGGCGGCGTCGCATCCATGAATCCCGGAGGATTCCGAGTTCAGTTCCAGATCCTCTGCGCGTTCCAGGCCATATCGGGCCTCCTGATCGCCTTCGCGGTCCCTGAGACGGTCTATGACCGCGCCTTCGTCTTCCTCAACACGCCATCCACCGCGGGGTCGTACCAGAAGCAGCAGCAGCAGCTCAAGCCCCGCGGCGACATCGACGTCGAGGCCGTGAGGGAGTACCTCGGCGGCATGAAGCCCCACTCGTACAACGCAGTCTGGGTAACCAAGGACCTGCTGCTGCAGGCGCCGCGCGCCATGATCGCGCCGACGACGCTGCTCCTGCTGCTCGTCACATTCCTGCCCTTTTCGGCCCTCTGGGCCGTGGCGGGGACCCTGAGCATGCTGTTCGCCCACCTCCCGTTCGAGCTCACCCCGGTCTCCATCGGCGCGCTCCTGACGGGGCCCTTCCTCCTCGGCGCCGGCACGGTCGCCTTCTTCTCGCTGTCGCCTTGGTGGCGCAGCCGCCAGTCGCTCGCGCCCATGAACGTGCTCGCCGTGGCGTCGGGCTCCTTCCTCGTCTTCGTCTCGCTCCTGGGCGCCGGCCTGCACGCCGAGTCGGCCATGATGGCGCCCATGACGGCCGTGTCGGACATGGGCATGGTCACAGCCGCCGACGCGGCCCAGTCGAGCCCCTTCATGGTCGGCGGCTTCGCCGACCGTATGAGCTTCCCCGGGCTCGGGGTGCTGCTGGCCCTGCTCGGCGCCGGCGTCTACGCCGTCGACGCGGCCGTGCGGCCCATGATCGCCACCTCGACCCAGTTCACGAGCTCCAACATGGGCGTGGCGCTGCGCAACACGGTCGACATGGAGTCCACCCTCGTGATCGCCCGCGCCGCCCTGGCCGGCGTCTTTGTCGTCGCCGCCCCGAGCATGACCTCGGCCTTTGACGCCCTGCGCTCCGCCCTCGTCGGCTTCGGCGTCTCGCAGCTCTGCGTCGCCGGCGCCGTCGGCGCCGTCTGGTGGCTGTGGGGCCAGGAGGTCCTGCTGCTCGACGGCCACGTCATGAAGTGCATCGACCTGAGCTCGGTCAGGAGGACAGGCAGCTTCTTCGACACGGACTGATCCCATTCCCATTTGTTAAACTGTATTTATTTTTCTACATTCTTTTCTTATGCCTCCATGGCAAATGACACAGCTTCTCGTAGCGTTCCCTCTCTTTCCTTTGTCAGCCTACTTTCGCAGGATTCTTGTACCTTCATTTCTACAGTGCCCAGGTCAGTTTATCGGTGGGTGAGATACCCGTGACTTTCTTTAATTGTCTTTTTGTTTAATATTTATTACGATTGATACCACAGACGGAGGACTGCGCAAAGTAAGCGGCGAGGAGGCTGGGGATACCCCTAGACGCATAGTCAGAAGTAGATGCATTTCTCGGGCCCAAGGCGCGCGAAAGGGAGCTGCTCATATAGGTCCCACGACCGTCAACGATGGCTCCCATGACAAGGTTTATTCCGAATCTTTCAGCTCGAACAATCGTTTTCTGTTATTAAGACATCGAGATCATTGCGTCCAGTTATATCGGGCCAGGTCCAGGCAGACCGGAGAACATGGGTGGGCAAAGAGAGGGTACCTGCGCATATACCTACATACGCGAAGCGCAAACAACGAGTGTGCTGGAACAAACAACAGCTGCCGTGATTAATGTTTCCCCATCCGTGCCATCAAGAAGTATCTCATTCTGTCGAGAAAATGACCCGCACTCTAGCCCCTCGTCTTGCAAGCAGTGCCCTCGTCTTGGTATGCTTCTTGCGGTGTTCCTTGAACGCGGTCGGCACCCCATCCCAGAACTCCCGGTCGGGCATTGTCTTTGCGAGCAGCGGCACGCACTCTCTCAGAGGCCGCCCCTTGCATTTCTCCAAGCGCTCGTCTCGGAGGGCGCAGTGGCACATGAACAGCATGATGCACTTCTCCCCAGGGTCGGATCCGTGCGCCAGGAGAAGGTTGATCAACTCCAGACGGACGCGAAGAAATTCCTTCTGCCTCTTCTCATGGCCCTTCCAAGGGGGCATGAGCGGCTGGCTCACCAGTCCTTTGCGGGGCATTCTGCTCAATGGCCGCGCCCTGGGGCTTGTCCTGATTCTGCCGTTGTAGGTGAGGGCGAAGTCGCGCGAGTTGCTGCTGTCAGCCTCCAGACTGTAGTAGCCCATCATTGGCGGCAGGGCCGACACTGGCGTCAGGCACCATGCATCTTAAGGTGATTCGAGAACCCCCCCGCAATGATAGCTGCGTCCTGCGGCAACCTCGTCCAATAATAGTCATGAATCGGACTCCAGGTGGGCATGACGGCAGACGAAGGTCGAGAATGGAGGATTGAATCAGCAAAAAGACCTGGTGTTGAGGCCTAAATCTTGATCTAGACAAGCGCCAAACTGTCTAAGTGAACATTTGACAGGAACGTCTCGACGGCGACGACGAGATAGGTGAGGCGAGGTTATGGGTGCCACGGACTGGCCCCAGAGTCGTTCGAGGGAAAGAGGTTCCTCTCCCGCTTAGGCTTCACCTATCAGAGCCCGGGCTCCCATGTTCGTCCCATGTTGCAGCGCGGAGGAAAAAGAACTAGAGCGCCTGTACACGTAGCACGGCCGTCGTCTCGGGTGTAACCAGCCAGCGTTAAACGACCAAGAAGGCGCTGTTGTCCGCCGGCCGTCTATCGGAGCGCCATCGCGTTTGCTGCTGAGTTTACGTTATGCACCCATCCATAATCTCAATTCTTCGTTCTTCTTCGTCTCCCGCCCGCAGTTGATATCTCACACCCCCCCTGTGTCTCCATGCACCTTTCCGTGACACGTTGGCAGTGATGTCTCTATCCGGGCGGGCAGCCCCAGCCCATGTTTTGCGAGGAAGGGTTGTTGTTGTTGAGATAGGTATCTAGTTATGCTTCTTTCCCCTTCCTTTCCGGTCACCTGCTCCTCACCATGTGCACCCACCGTCCTGCGGCCGAGCTAGAACTCATGCGTTGGGCTCGGTGGGGAGGCAGCCAGGCGCCACATCGAAAGTCAAGACAGACATGAAGGAGGCGGTTCCTGATGTCAAATAGGTAAGCTGGCTTGTGGAACTTGCGTGCTTGCATGGCTGGTTGCGGTCTGTATTTTGAGCCATCCACGATGGAGCCAAGAACTTTGGTTTCTCCGTTCCATCTGTGCGCATCATTTCGTCCGCATTCGCATTCGCTTTATGATGGGCCCTGCAGTAGCGGCTTGCGGGGGTAGCATCAATTCTGCCCCGCTCAAACTCGCCAGCGGACGCCACCTCGCCTTTTCCCAGCACCAATGTGACATCGGTGATGATGGGTTTGGGCCGCAAGACCTGGCGCAAGTGTTATCGACACACTCATGTGCTCGCCTTCCCTGCAGAGCTCAGCTCAGCTCGCTAATTCTGCGGGTTCGGGGGAACATTCGGCTCCGTCTGGCCACACGCGTTCCTCTCCATCCCCATCCCCTCGCAACGGGCCGTCCACCGCGTTCGACATTTAAACGAGTGCGAACACACCCTGGCGACATAGTGCGACCCCGAAAGGTCTGTCACTGGGTAGCGCTGGTTCGCCTCGCTAAAGGCCGGGGGGGGGGGGGGGGCTTGCGTGAGGCCCGTTGCCCTTGGCCCGGCTGCATGTTTGGGTGCCAAGGCGACACGGCCATCAGCCCACCTGGTTCACGGCAGGTCCCTTTGCGCCTTATTTTCCCCAGCTCCGATGCGGCCGGCCGTGTCTCTCTAGCTTTTGCTATCATCGCCAAGGAGCGTAACAGGGACAGACATGTATAAATGACCTTGCACACCGCATCTATCTGCTCCTGGGCGAGCGGTTTGCTGTCGTGATTGTTTCTCTGCTCTGGAGCTGTCTACATTACTCTATAGTTACTCCTCTATACCCGTTACCCTAAAGCTTGGTTTATCTTTATCGCTGTGCACCTTTTCCAATGGGTGACACTCCATCTTCGACCCCCGCTGCTCTGCCGTCACACCACGGGGACTGGCCAAACACACAGGGGGTGAGTACCTACCTCGCTTGATCTTCTCTAGAGTCTGGACTAATAACCAAGAAACCTTGCCCTGGTAGTTTGATGTTCGCCACCAGGAGCTAACCCCGACAGACCTCGAGGTCGTCGGCGAGATCCCGGCCTACGTAGCAGGCGTTCTATTCCGTAATGGCCTCGGCCCGCGCGAGGTCGAGCTGTCGGCCGACGGCTCAGTCTCGTACAGGGTCAGCCACTGGTTCGACTCTTTCTCCCAGGTCCACCGCTTCCAAATCCACCCGCCGACCCCGGACCACCCGGCAGTCCGGGTCACGCACAACTCCCGGCTTACGAGCGACGGTGTCATCGAGCGGCTGCGACGGACCGGGTACATGGCAGACTTCACCTTTGGCGCCAAGCGGGACCCGTGCCTTTCGCTTTTCCAGAAGGTCCAGTCCGTGTTCACGCCGCTCGTCCGGTCAAGGCCCGACCTGGCACCAAACGCCGCCAACGTCTCCGTTTCGCTGTCGCCCAACTTCCCCGGCCTCTCGAGGACGGGCGAGCGGCAGGAGACGGAGGAGGTGGCCCCGGCATCCAGGGGGAGGCGGCCCGTGGCAAACCTTGCCAACAAGACGGACTCGGCCACGATGCAGATGCTCGACCCAGAGACCCTGGAGCCTACCGGCCTGGTCCGGCAGCGCTCCCTGCACCCTTCCCTGACGGGGCCCCTGAGCGCCGCCCACGCCTGCCGGGACCCCGACACCGGCGACGTGTTCAACTACAACCTGGACCTGGGGCCCGACGTGTGGCGCGTCTTCACCGTGTCGGCGGCCACGGGGCGGACGTCGGTGCTGGCCACCATCAAGCACACGGGCGCCTACGTGCACTCGCTGTTCCTGACGGAGCGCTACGTCGTCCTGTGCGTCTGGAACTCCTTCTTCTTCGCCGGCGGCACCCCGATGTTGTGGAGGCGCAATTTCGTCGACGCCTTTGCCGAGTACAACCCAGGCCGGCCGGCGCGGTGGTTCGTGGTCGACCGGCGGCCCGGCGGCAAGGGCTTGGTGGCCTCGTACGACTCGGAGCCCTTCTTCGCCTTCCACAGCATCAACGCCTACGAAGAGCCGAGCGGCGGTGGCGGGGAGGGGGAGGTGGACATTGTGGCCGATATATACGTGTACGAAAACCTCGACATAATCAAGCGTTTCTACATCGACAACCTGATGTCCGACTCGCCGGCTGCAAAAGCCTACTTTGGCGCCTCCGAGAAGGGGCCCAGCACGGCCGAAAACCCCATCCAGAGGGGTGTGCTTCGGCGCTTTCGCCTGGCTGGTGTGCCACCGCTGCCGCCTCTGGACAAGTCAAGCGACCACGCTAACCGGGCCCAAACCCCACAGCCTCCCGCAGAAGCAGCAAAAAAGGCGACAGTCGAACATCGCGGCACCCCCGGCTTGGGGCCCGAGCTCCCGAGCATCAACGGTGCATTTACGGGGCGGCGGCACCGGTTCGTTTACGGCGTCACTTTTACCGGCCTCAGCACGTTCCTAGACGGGCTGGTCAAGCATGATATGGACACGGGCGAGACACTCCAGTGGTGCCGCCACGGCCAGACGGCGGGCGAGCCCCTGTTTGTCGCGGACCCGGAGCGGGCCGGCGGCGACGACGCCGAGGACGCAGGCGCTCTACTTTCCGTCGTGCTGGACGGGACCAGGGGTAAGAGCTACCTGCTCGTCCTCGACGCTAAAACCATGCGGGAGGTTGGCCGGGCCAACGTCGACGGGGTCGTGGGTTTTGGGTTCCACGGTGTTCACGTTGCTGCATGATCGTTTCCTTGCCGTGATATCCCTTCTCCGCTTCTCTTTTGGTCTTCCCTCTGCGAATTTACTTGTTTTGAGTATGTAATGTGCCATTTGGTCTTGTGATTTTTGCTTATATCCGACGGACTCAACCTGCTTCAGGCTACGTATTTCTCAAGCGAACACTTAGTATTTGATCATTCTCATTCAGCAGCACATTCGCAGACCTGTCATAGTGGACCCAACTTTAGCGCATTACTTCTCACGATAACTTCGAATCTGTTGGTCACGCGACCTGAAGCCCCAGCGCCAAGTTAGCTCAACTAGCATAGAGGCCGTTTATTGGCACTATCACGGAATTAGATGGCGCTAAGGAATGGCGTATTCTCTTCATTATGCCATTAACTTGGGACGACATGAACGGTCAGCATGGAGCTCTCAGCTAAACCACCGATTTCCTATCATCCTTCCGTTTCCGTCACCATGACGAGACGACTCCAAGTAGATATGGTGATAGAGGATAGGACTACCTCGCAGCATCGCCTCGCACGTGACGGCTCCTTCGCGTCATGTGGCTTTCCATCCAATTCCAAAGACGGTCCGGCTCGACGCCACACCCTCAGTGTGGTGCAATGACATCACCACTAAGTGCCTGGACAATGGAAGGGGGGACGACAAACCTGCTGGAGCAGGTGAGACCGAGCACGCTTGCACGCATAATGGGCATTCGACGCCTGCCGGATCGCGGTTGCTAGGACGGGCACGCGCCGCATGCGTCACAGGCAGAAGGCGCCGTCGTCTTAAAACGACGGCAGAGCCCAGCAGAAGAAGAACCAGGGTGCCGTGCTTCTTCCATTCTGCCCTGTCCACTGCCATTCCATACTCGAGACACCGACGCAGAAGTTATCGCAACGCCTGTATTCATTCGCCCGTGAGCCGCAAAAAAGAACGCGAATCGAACAAGCTCAATCAATACCAACTGGATTGTCTGCCAAGCTCTCCATATCTCGTCAGTAAGAAGCAGAACAACACCTCAAGGAAAGCTACGCCACTGACAAGCACCGAGCCGAGGCTAGGCAGATTCCCAAGATCAAACCAAGCAACACCTGCAACCATGTCGCACTTCTTCGCCGCCATCGAGGACCTCCTCAAGAGCTTCGGAAACCTGTTCGCCAGCGTCTTCAGCACTATCTCCAACGTCGTCACGGGCTTCTTCACCATGGTCGCCCACCTGCTCACGTCTTTTGTCGACCTCGTCACCGGCACCTTCAAGGGCCTCGTCGAGATGATTGGCGGGCTGGGCAGGTTCGTCGCAGGTGAGCATCTCCAAGTCGCCCTTTCCATTTTGAGTTCAGCTTGCTGTGCTCTCTTTTTGTCCCTACACACACACAGCCGAGACAAGTGCTCTGATAGCTGACGGTCGCGCACGCGTTGTCGTAGGAAATCTTGTTCTTTTCGGTGTTCTCGCCGTCGGCCTCGTCGCGTACCAGCGCTTTGTCGTGCAGGGAGGACAGCCCAAGCCCATCACGCAGGCCAAGAAGACAACCTGAGAGATAGAACTAGAAGAGAGGCTGGAGGGTTAGTTTTATTTGCAGACCATGCTTTCTAGCTGAGCTCAGGCTGTTTAAGCACCATACTTTTGGCCCTTGTCTTTGCTCCGCTGTCTGCTGTCCACGCTAGAGATGATCCCAAAGTGAAATTCCACTCTTCCACCTTTGTTGCTCTCTTTAAATTCGCGTCGTTGACTTTTTTATGGAAACGGTTATACCCGCCTTTGGCACACATGGAGGCTAGTTTAGCACACCCTAATACGCACAGAACCCACGCTTTGCGAGCCCATCTGCTGGATGGATTCAATTGTTGCCCCAGTAATATTCATGTCCTTCCAGTCATACGTGCAACTTTCTAGCTCAGAGAGACTCTGGAGCCAGCTACATGAGTGATGGCAAGAATTATCCAAGGAGTTTGATACCTGACTACCTCCTTGTACCCCCTTGAAGCTGCCGACGGAGCTTGATGATGCTACCGTTCCTCGAACTGGTTCTGGAAGCGAATCTCGACTGCTAATGCTCGTTACCATGGTCGGGGAATTCCAGGCACGGGTGAGGGAATGGGTGACGGAGGGGGCCAATTAATCTGTGGTTAAATTGCCGTTTAATTGGTGTTCTGAGGCTGCCCGTTTAAATGCACGTTTCTGTTCTGGCACGCGTGCGAACGCACAGCTGTCCGTTCCTGGCCGAGCGGAAGGGCGTTGAACGAAAATGCCAGAAGGGGCCAAGGTCTTAATAGTGTCTGATATGGCATTATACAAGCCCGCTGGCGCCACCCGGGCTTTTCCAGAGAGCGCTTCCCAGCGCAGGCGTAGTTCAATGGGGCAAGCCATAATCCTTACTAAAAAGCCAACGGATTGGAAGAGCCGAACGTCTTGCTTGGGATCTCGTGAGGGCACATGTGAGGGGGCGCAACACACCCCTGAGCAGGAGACCGTTGGTATATTTTTAGAAACCAACATCCCGCAGCTCGACCACGTTCCATATTTCTTTTTGATCTGGCTCATTGCAACGTCAATCTAAGTCCGCTCGACCGACCTGGCCTGTGGCCCGTGAGGCCGGTACCTCCCCGCCCTCAAGGCCGGCGTGATGTCCATGGGTGGAATGCGCTGTGGTCCTTGACCCGCTGCGGGTGTGATGCATCATCAATCTAGCTGGCATTAAGCGTGGGTTACAGGTTTGTGCCGCCCGCAAGGTGACGTGCGTGGTTGGATATGTCGGCTTGCTAGAGTCGGGCTCGGTGACGGCTGGAAACCGCCATAGAAATATCTTGTCGTGTAGCTAGCAGCACTATGTATACAATCACGAAATCACCTAGGGCGCCCGATCAAGAAGCCTTTTGCCCCCAGTCTGGGAACGGACAAAAGGACGTTCTCCGGGGCCTTCCGCCCGTAACAGACACCCGCCAAACATGGATATATACCACCCACCCTCCCTCCCCAAGATGGCCAGGCTTGCGGACAGGTGGGTGGGTGTGCATGCACACCGTGACACCGTCCCAAATTTAAAGCACCGGTCCGCTCAACGCCCGGCCGGAAAATTCTGGGGCCACTCCATGCCGAGACCGTCTCATCTTCTGCCGGCCTCTCCCCTTGGGGCTGGATGGCAATATGAAGACGTAGCATTTTACCCCCATCCCTCCTTCCGGACCTTGAAATGCCTGCTTGGAGCCTCCTGCAGGTGTGCTTCGTCTGGCCCACACACCTCTCAGCCCGCTAGGCCTAGTCTGCGTCGCTTCCATCTAGCCTTTGGTTGCTTCATCACGCAGAATCAGTGTCCTATTGCAGATACCTGATAAGCCGGGAGCTCCGGGAAGCCGAGAAAGCGAGAACCGCGGTATCCCAAAGCGGAAGAATCTAGGGTCGTCTCCCCCCTGTCTGGCTGCGCTCTTTCCCATCAATACCACCCTCCTCCTACAGCCAAGGCTCAGCTCCATACTCTAACGGCCAGCATCGGCGCTCACAACCCCATCGGCGTCTTGACAAAAAGTCCTTGTGATAAGCTCCCCTGTCTTGTCTACCCTAGATATGCTGGACCAACTCGATCTAGCCTAGGTCTCCACACCAAGGCCAAAGAGGACCGCAAATAGCAACTATCGAACCGTCGTCGTTATTATAAGAAGGGCCGCTCTTCCCTCGCCCGGGTGGGAACACATCATAGCCGAGCCGATCAACCCCTTCCGCCAAAAGAGATCGCCCACCGCAGCGGGGCGAGGATCACCAGCCTGCCGCTCCATCGACACACCCGAATACTAGAAAAACACAAGGTCACGGGGAGCTCGCCGATCGCTCGGCTGCTAGTTGCAATACGCTTTCGGTTGCAGCCGCACCATCAAGTCTGCAGGTCCCCCCTACCCAAAGCGTCCCAGTGGACATCACACATCCCTCGGCACCGCGGTGTGGCGCCCTGTACCGACGATCATCCGTTGTGCAAAGGCAGAAAGCCACAAGCGCAGAGCCTCTTGGTCTTGGTCGGCGAGTTATCACAAGATGAAGGTCAGCACCACTCTTCCGCTATCCCCTAAAAACAGCCCTTGACGTCCAACCTAACAAGTCCCGTCACCACCACCCACCAGGTCGCCACGTCACAAACCATCATTGGCGGCGCGCTGCTGTCCCTCCTGCCCGCGCTATCCTCGGCGTCCCCGCTGCCGCCGCAAGACGCCACGGGGGACGCGCTCTCGTCGCCGCCCCCGATGTGGAACATCCGGTGCCCGCGCGACATACAGGACTACTGCACGCCCGACAATCGGCTCTTCTACTGCACCGTCAACGGCGAGCTCCGGAACCAGCTGAGCGCGTCGTGCGCGGCCTGCGTGTGCAGGGACGGCTCTGGTGGGCGGCCATAGAGGGCTATTACCGTCGGACGTTTGAGGCTGGCAGCTCCAGAGGAACAGGAAAAGAAGATGCAATTTCTTTCGTCGGCTATGCGGGACGAAACGGGTGTGTCCCTCTTTGCGCTTCTTCTTGAAGTGCAAACGGATGGTGCGATGGCTGGATTGACATGGAGACCCGCTGGAGATATTTCAGATTTGGTTCGCTGTCTGGAGAACAGACGAGCATGAGCCCGGCGTGATGATATCTCATCTTGTAGTATAGTCTCAATACAAAGACTTGATTCATTGAGATTCCACATTCGTAAATCCAATTTTTTTTCTTTCGCATCCTTCCAGGTTCGCTCAAGCTGAAGCTCCAGGACGATAGGGTATCTACATATCGACACTCTTGAGAAATGCCCATAAAGACGTAAAGGAGAAAAACAAGCAAATGACAAGGTCATGTTCACATTCAAACTTGAAACATGACCCCAAAATAGAGTCACATAATTTCAGGAATGCAGCAGCCTACAGCTTGGCAGGCAGCTTCACGCCCGCGTCCTCTGCCACCATCTCGGCGCAGCGCTCGGCGATGCCCATGACAGTCAGCATGGGGTTGATGGACGGGATGGTGGGGAAGACGCCGGCGTCGGCGATGCGGACGCCCCGCAGCCCGCGCAGCCTGAGGCGCGAGTCGACGACGGCGAGCGGGTCCGACTCGACGTCGCCCATGCGCGTGGTGCCCGCCGGGTGGTAGACGGTGTGTGCGGCTCGGCGGGCGTACTCGCTGATCTCCTCGTCCGTCTGGACCGCGGGGCCCGGGGCGACCTCGCGCTTGATCCAGCCTTTAAAGGGCTCCTGCTCGGCCACCTTGCGGGCGGCGCGGATGCCGTAGACGAGGGTGGCGGCGTCGTAGCCGTCCGGGTCGGTGAAGTAGCGGAAGTCGAGGGCGGGCTTGACCTTGGGGTCGGGCGATGTCAGGTACAGGCGGCCGCGGGAGCGGGGGCGGGGGATGTTGGGGGTCATGCAGAAGGCGTAGCCGTCGGCGGGCACGTCGCAGCCCAGGCGGGCCGTGTTGAGGGCGAAGGGGATCTGGTAGCAGTGCATCATGACGTCGGCCACGGCGCCGTCGGGCAGGGCGCGCGGGTTGGTCGGGGTGGCGCCGCTGCGGGCGGCGGCGTCGGGCGCCTCGCGGCGCAGGAAGATGCCCGCGTCCGAGTCCATGGTGGTCTGGTTCTTGGGCACGGGCCGGCCGAGCTCCCACATGATGATGGACTCGGGGTGGTCGACCAGGTTCTCGCCCACGCCCGCCACGTCGCGGACGACGGGGATGCCGAGCCCCGAGAGCTGGTCCTTGGGGCCCAGGCCCGAGAGCAGCAGCAGGCGTGGGGTGTCGACGGCGCCGGCGCACAGGATGGTCTCGGCGCCGGCCTCGACGACGCGCTTGCTGCCGTCGCGCAGGGTCAGGCTCACTCCCGTGACGGCGTCGCCGGCCACGTTGACGCGGTCGACCCAGGCGTTGGTCAGGATGGTCAGGTTCGGGCGGGACTCCTCGCCGCGCAGGATGGGGTGGATGTAGGCGACCGAGGCGCTGGAGCGGCGGCCGTCGTCCGGGTTGTAGCTGATGTTGAAGAAGCCGACGCCCTGGGTGAGGGCGCCCGCCTCGGCGATGTCCTTGTTGAAGTTGTCGATGATGGGCACGTCCAGGGCGCCGCTGCAGGCCTTGACCCAGTCCTGGCACAGCTGGTTGCGGTGACGGGCGTGGACGGGCTGGACCGTGTTGCGCAGCTTGCCCATGAGGCGCATCAGCGTGGCGTGGTCCCAGCCGCGTACGCCAAAGGACTCCCAGATCTTCATGTCGTACTCAAAGGGGCGGAAGGAGATGAGGGTGTTGTGGGACGAGCAGCCGCCCAGGACCTTTGCGCGCGAGTGGCGGATGTGCGAGTTGCCCATGGGCTGCTCCGTTGTTGGATAGTCGTAGTCCAGCTCGCCGCCCAGGAGCGCCAGCCACTGGTCCAGCTTGAGGACGCGGTCGTCCATGAAGTCGCTGGGGCCGCCCTCGATCACCAGGATCTTCTTCTCGGGCAGGTACTCGGCCAGCCGGGATGCGATGATGCATCCGGCGGTGCCGCCGCCCACGACGACATAGTCAAAGCGATCACGGGCGGACTCGGGGATGTAGGTGGTCGTCATGGTGCTTGTGCTTGATGACGCAGCTGGTAGTGGTGAAGATGAGCAGGGTAGTTTCCTCTAGGCTGTCAGCATCGGAGGAGGGCGTATATGGGAAAGGCGTGAGAGAGGCAAGATGAGAGGAAAGAAAACAAGAAAAAAACAAGAAAAAAAGAGCGAGACACCAGAGAAGAAAGCCGGGAAATCTAAAGAGGGCAAAGAAGAGACGAAAAAGGCATGCCGTAAAGCCCAGGCCGAGGAGCGTTTCCGGCACGCATCGGCAGCCGAGCAGTCGGAGCAGGGCCGACCAACGGGAAAGTGGGTGCATCATTGGTCGTGTGTGCTGTGGGGTAAGCTCAGCCCAGGGGTCCTATCTGCAGCCTACATGTAGCCTATACTGTGGTACTACACAGTACTGCACTCCACGAGGTTGGTAGGCCAAGATCCGGGATGTTCAGTGATCGGTGAGACGGCGCGGCGGGTCTAATTCCTCGATGGGACAACTGCATGCACTAGACCGAGTCGCATCCCTGCCCACGTTCCTGCCCCACTTGGTCAATTACTTGGTCATGTGTGGTCGGTGTTGGGGTCATGTTGGTGGCAGCCTGGTGGCTGGTGCTTCACTGTGCCTGAGCGAACTACACAGGAAAGGGCGGTACAAGAACGGTAGACTTTACAGACCACACCGACTAGACTTCTAGACTAGACCTCTACACAGTACTTACGGCAAAGGAAACGGTCCGGTTTCGGCCTGGCAAACGCTTTATCTTTCTTGTCCCCTCGGCTTCTCCCGAATGAGATCCCAACACACATCATCTTTCTATCTCCCTTTTTTTTTCCCCTCGCGCCCCGCACTCGCCAAGGTTCTGCCTGCTAGTGGAGCCCGCACATGGTTCGATTTTGTTCCTTGATATGCACCATTCGTATCAGTCAATCGCTGAACTATTCCACCGTACGTCCTATCCGATCGAGAGAGATATCGTTTCTGCTCGCGAGGCGGGGCGCCAACACTCGCTGCCCACGCTCTTGGTCGTGCCTCCATCCTGAGTCCTCCGCAATGTCGTCACCGCCCCTCTTGAAAGTTGGGTCTTGAAAGTTGGGCCATGCCTGAGCGTCGGGGCTTGTGGGCCAGCATCCCCCGGTCAGGCTCCACGAACGTCTGGTGCATTTACGTAACCTTCCTGACGTGGCAGACGCAGACGCAGGGGTAGTCGGCCTTGGGATCGGATTCTTTTGCCGTTGTGGGGGAAGGAGGAACAAGAAAAAAAGCAGCCCGCCTGTGCCTGTGCCTGTGGTGTGGTGTGCTACCGTCAGCGCCAGCGCCAGAGACAGACCTGCGAACAGGCCCAACAGCAGTCAGCACCGCTCGCATAAACCCGCGCCCCAGTCTCCCCCGAGACGCCCTACCCAAGACCCGACCCCTCCCTCCACTGAAGATGGCGCCCAGCGCCCCCGAGAAGGACCGCCACGCCTTTTACGGCGGCCACGCCCGGCCGTCGGCCGACAGCCCCGGCACCTTCACCACCGTCGACCCATCCACGGCCCAGCCCCTGTGCACCATCCACACGTCGTCGCCCGCCGCCGTCGACGCCGCCGTGGCCGCCGCCCGGGATGCCTTCCCCGCATGGTCCCGCACTCCGCCGGCCGAGCGCGCCCAGGTCCTGCAGCGCGCCGTAGCCATCCTGCGCGCGCGCAACGACGAGCTCGCCCGCGTCGAGACGCTCGACACCGGCAAGCCCTACTCGGAGACGTCGGCCGTCGACGTCGTCACCGGGGCCGACGTGCTGGCCTACTACGCCAACCTCGTGGCGTCGGGCGGCCTCAACGGCGAGTCGCTCCGCCTCCGTCCGGACGCCTGGGTCTACACCAGCAAGGAGCCTCTGGGTGCGTGCGCCGCCATCGGCGCCTGGAACTACCCCATCCAGATCGCGCTCTGGAAGTCGGCGCCCTGTCTAGCCGCCGGCAACACGCTCGTCTACAAGCCGTCCGAGTTCACGCCGCTGCACGCCCAGTACCTCGCCCAAGTCTATGCCGAGGCCGGGCTGCCCGCCGGCGTCTTCAACGTGGTCTACGGCGCCGGCGACGTCGGCGCCCGCCTGTCGACTCACCCAGACGTCGCCAAGGTCAGCTTCACGGGCCAGGTTAGCACGGGCCGCAAGGTCGCGGCCGCGGCCGCCGGCGGGCTGCGGTCTGTCACCATGGAGCTCGGCGGCAAGAGCCCGCTGATCGTGCTCCCCGGCGCCGACGTGGCGCAGGCGGCCGACGGCGCCATGATGGCCAACTACTACAGCTCAGGCCAGGTCTGCACCAACGGCACACGCGTCTTCGTGCCGCGCGCCCTCAAGGCCGCCTTCGAGACCGCCGTGCTCGAGCGCATCCCCCACGTCCGCGCCGGCGACCTGTTCGACCCGGCCACCAACTTCGGGCCCCTGAGCAGCCGCGCGCACCTGGACAAGGTCGAGGCCTACATCCGCCACGGCGTCGAGGTGGACAGGGCCCGCCTGCTGTGCGGCGGTGTCGGCAGGCCCGAGGGCGTCCCCGAGGCACTCGGCGCCGGCTTCTGGATCCGCCCCACCGTCTTCACCGACTGCACCGACGACATGCGCATAGTGAAGGAGGAGATCTTTGGCCCTGTCATGTCCATCCTGGCATATGACACGATCGACGAGGCCGTCGCGCGCGCCAACGCCACCGAGCTAGGGCTAGCTGCCGGCGTGTTCGGGAGCGACATCAACCAGTGCCACGACATCGTCGCCCGGCTCGAGGCCGGCATCACCTGGATCAACACCTGGGGCGAGTCGCCCGCCGAGATGGCCGTGGGCGGCTGGAAGCAGAGCGGCATGGGTGTGGAGAACGGCCACAAGGGGCTCGAGGCCTGGGTGCAAAACAAGAGCACCCTGGTCGAGATGGCCGGCAAGGTCCCGACGGTGTTTGCCAAGATATAGCCCATGTGCCGTTGTCTTGTGGAGAGAGTTGGGCGAGGTGAGACAATGAAGGCGCAAAAATTGAGGCCAGACGGGCCAATTCCTCCAACCGCCACAACTTGGCGCCTCAACGGCGAAGTTTGCGTAAAGTTATCAGATCTGCCCAGAAAGGGCAACTAGTTTCACCAGCATCCATGTTGTGCCTTGTGCCTTGTCATCTTGTGCCTTGTTACCTTGTGCCCGACACGCGGCGGTGGGCTGTGGGCGACCTTCTGGAACCTTCCCGATGCAGGGCTCTGTCGCGTGCAGGTTGACCAATTGGCCCCAAGTGGGGTGACAAACATGGTTGCGCAGCGTTCAATAGCGTGGCGTCAACGGTTTAAACCCCACGTTTCGCGCCTCCGGACGGGCGCGCGCTCGTTTGTCCACCTCGGCGTTTGCGCCCGCCCTGCCTTTGTCCCACGACGCCGACCGAGAAGCAAGCCCGAAACGGAGACCGTCAATGCCCCAGCGGTCCAGAGTCTACCTCGTCTTGCGGGTGCCGTTCGCAGCCTTGCCTTGGGCTGATCAACTGGACTGCCAACACCAATAAGAGCTGACCGATACCACCCGCTGCCTGACTGGCGCTCCCCGAATCTGCCGGCGCTCGAACGAACGGGAACAAACGGCGAACGAATGAGCCGAACTCGCGCAGGAACAAGCGATCGCCCAACTCGCACGCAAACCCACATCCACAACCGCTACAACTCAATATCGGATCGACGACATGGCTGAAGCAACTCGCCTCAAAGAGGAGGGCAACCGCCACTTTCAGCAAGGCGACTTTACTGGCGCCGAGAGCTTATACTCGCAGGCGTACGTCATGCTATCCCAGCATACCGCTCTCCAACAGCTCCCGGCAGGGCAGGGGCTGCCAGGAACCATCCACCACACCAGACTAACACGCAACCTTCCTCCTCCCCCCGCGAAACAGAATCATCCTCGACCCCAAGAACGCGGCGCTCTTCACCAACCGCGCCATGGCGCGGCTCAAGCAGAGCTTCTGGGACCTGGCCATCAGCGACTGCGCCGACTGCCTCAAGCTCGCGCCCGACAGCTTCAAGGCGCACTACTACATGGCCCAGGCCAAGGCCGAGGAGCGCTTCGACCTCGACGGCGCCCTGGCCCACGCCACGCGCGCCCACCAGCTCTGCGTCGCCGCTGGCGACCGCTCCCTGCCAAAGTACGCCGAGCTGGTGCTGCGCTGCAAGAAGGACCGCTGGGAGGACCGCGAGCGCCGCCGCGAGCGCGAGGACGTGCGCCTCGAGGCAGAGGTCCTGGCCCTGCTCGGCCGCGAGCGCGACGGCGAGCTGGAGGCGCTCCGGGCCGAGGGCGGCGGCGGAGATGACGGCGACGGCGGCGGCGACGAGGCGGTCCGCCACATGGTGACGGAGGACTATGCGGCCAAGGCCAAGCAAATAGCCGACGTATTTGAGAGGTCGCGATCCGCCGCCGCAAAGAGAAGGGCCGTCCCGGACTGGGCCATTGACGACATTGGCTTCGGTTTCATGGTGGACCCCGTCATTGTGAGTCTCTGGAGTCTTCTCTCCCCTGCCCAGGAGTGCGGCGAGCTCGCACCCTTAGCTAACTAACACTGCTTCCAAAAAAAAACCCCCACCCAGACAAAAACCGGCAAGTCGTACGAACGCGCTACCATCATGGAGCACCTCCGCAGGCACCCCACGGACCCCCTGACCCGCGAGCCGCTGCGGCCGTCGGACCTGCGCCCCAACATTGGGCTCAAGCAGGCCTGCGACGAGTTCCTCGACGAGAACGGCTGGGCGGCTGACTGGTGATCTGTCAGGTCCGCCCATCCGCCCGTCCCGCGAGTCCCTGCGAGGGTCTCGGAAAGAAGAAAAAACCCCGTTCCAACTCGATCACATCGACCTGTCGAACTCATTTTGGGGGTTCCATACCCAAACACGACATAGTGCAGCGCCGGAAAAAGAAGAGCCGAAAAAAAAAAAATAGCGCGGTTTCGTGTGGACCTCTCCTTTTTTAGCGCTCCCCTTCTGCGTGCGCAAGAGGAGAGGAAAAAGAAACCCTCCCGGTTGGCATATATACCTTGTCTCTTATAATGCGTGACCCGGCATAGTATGGCGTTCTGGAACATTCCTTTCTCTGGCGCATGCTCAGCGTTTGCAGCCTGCTCGATATCATCACTTGGTCCCTTTATTCTTTTCCATCATCTTTCTGCCCCTTTCCCACGACTTATGACCGTTTTACGCGTGACACGAATATCTTACCCCCATCACCCCTTTGTTCCTTTTTCACGGCATCATCAGGACAGATCACTGTCAGAATCAATATGGCAAATGGATGACATCAAAGCAATTCTTGGTCCCACGGCACCCATCCTGTATTCCCTGGAGCGGCGAAGTGTACATGTACTTGTAACAAACAGAGATGCATCTCTTGATCAACGATACAAAACGATGGCCTTGTAAAAGCAAAAGATAAAATTGAATAATAGCCAAAAGGATCAATAGCGAGAGGACGCGCGAGCAATGACAATCCCTTGGACATGTGAGTTCTGATTGCCAGAGGTTTCGTTTGGACAAAAAAAGGTCGCCCGAGTCGGAGCTCCCCGAGAATGATGAGGCTGGTGTGCGCAAGGAGAAGTACAAAGAACATACGATCAGTCTCCAAAACACTGCGTTGCTGCTGCTACCGTGTACTCCCCGGATACACCGGGACCAAATTCAAAAGTCTAATGTGTACAAGATGACACGTAAGAATATTTAGGAAAGCAAGCTCCGTTTTCGCCCTAGCCAGTTAGGTCACCTACCAGGTCACCAGATACGTACACAGGTAGGGAACCATGCGTGCAAATAATCTTACATCTCCGCCGGCAACATGCAGGCCAGGAGAGACCCAGGCGTGAACCATAATCTAACCCCAAGACTCCTGGTCATCGTGGTCGTCATTATCGCAGCAATCGTGCGAGAAAAAGGCATCATAGATACACACCGCCGGTTCTTCCTGCCGCAGTGGGCCGCTACCTCGCGTTCCCGCGTGGCGGCCTCGTCGGACTCGCTCCACCGCTGGAGCTGCTCTCCCCGCCGCCGCCGCCGCCGCGCGTCTCGTTCCACCGCTTGCGCATGGCTTCGTACTCGGCTACCGTCTCCAACTGCTCGCCAGCGGGCTGCCTTGGCGGCGAGTTAGTGATGCCGCGCCCGTACTTGGTCTCCTTGTTTTCCTCTGAGGGAAACCTCTCTAGCTCCTCGTCCTCGTACAAGACATCGCCGTAGCGTGGTAGCGACGGTAGCGACCGTGTATCGCCAGTCACGAGTCCCAGGCGCTCCTCTTCGCTCGCCTCCTGGGCTGCCGGGTTCGAGTAGCCCCTGCTCCTAGCGGTGAGGCTTCCGGGTCGGCGACTCGAAGGCGAGTGCGGGGAGTCTGCGGCACCATCTCCGCCTCCCACGCCGGCACCATAAGCACTGCTACCAACATTGAGTTGCTCTGGCGGACTTTGCTGCTGCGGCGAGCTGTTGCCGTGCCTCATCCCCAGCCCCAGCCCAAACCTCTGAAAGCTGAACTGTCGGCGCGTCCCGTGGGGAGGCGGCGTCGGTGGGGGGCCAAGACTGCTGACATCGCTCACTTCAGAAACACCTCTAGGTCTCCCAGGCGGGGCGCTGCGCGCGGTGCCGGGGACACTGAGCGTGCTACCATGGTACCTAGCCTTGGAAGGGCTCCTTCCGTTGTTGTAAACACCCGACTCAAGATCCTGGTCGTTCCCGCCGCCAGACATGTTCATGTAAGTCAGTTGAACCGGGTGTAGTGGGCTTTGTGTGTTCCTGTTCGGATCGTCATCGTCGTCACGAGCGGTCCCAGGCGCACTTTGTGGCGGCACAAAGGCGCCTCTGGCCCGGGAGCGGATGGTCCCGACGATGCTCGACAGCGCACCTGGACTAGAGGGCCTGTCGAGTGCGTCGAGCTCCTCTTGGGTCGGGAAGTGCGACCAGCCGAGGGGAGGATGGGGCGTTGGCGCGGGGCTCCCAAACGGGTTGGGAGAGGGGGACGTCATGGCACGCGACCTAGTGCTTCCATAAGTCGTCCGCCGCCTCCTGATGCCGTCCCACTCAAACTGGGTGCCATCCTCGTTGAGCGGGGCCAGGGTCTCTTGCCGCTTCTCCTCATGCATCCTCTTCAGCTCATCCGCCTCCATCTTGAGGCGCGCGCTCGACAGCCGCCGGATGATTGCGGCGGTGCCGCGGATGGCGTCGGCCTTGGGATCCGTCTCGCTCTGCTCCTGCTCTGCGATGGTATGGATTTGGTCTAGGTCCCCCTTGAACACGGCCGCATCCGGGACATCCTTGGCCGATCTCGAAAGCTGGAGCAGGACAACACCGGCGCAAATGGTCAGGAATCCGTTGACAACCGTGATGATGGATGTCGGAGTCCCCCCGAATCCTTGAAAAAGGACGCTCGACGCGATGATTGTGGAGCTCGTGAAGTAAACGTAATAGGTTGGAGTCACCATGGCGGCGTTGAATAGATTCAACGCTTTCTGCAGGGGGCTCAAGAAGAGTGTTAGCCGAAATGAACAGGGTGTGCGACAGATGGCATCTGCGCCAGAAAGTCATTCTTTGGTGACTGACGTTCAAGTATATGATCTCTGTCAGCAGCGTGATGATGACAAAGACCAATAGTACGTAAAGGAACCACTGGTTGAACTGAGGTGTGCCACCGATCTGGGTGATTATAGCAGCACCGAGACCCTGCGTGGCGACGACGCTCAGGCCTCCGATCCAGCTGCAGATGGAAATGTAGACCAGCATGTTCGTCTTCCCCCATCTTGGACCGGCATACAGGGCGGTTATTATGCAGCCCACGACAACTACCCCCGTGTAGCTGAGGAAGCCGGGGGTTATGACATAGGCCTGCATCTGCTCGATGTTGGCGACGGATGAGTGGGAGGGGGCGTTCAGGACGATGACGATGGAGCCGACGATGCACAGAAAGCAGGCAACCTTGCCAACCATGCTAAGGCGTTCCTTGAGAAAGATGGCAGACAGGATGGCGCAGATGACGACCGACAGTGCGCCGAGAGGCGTAACGAGGATGGCATCGGTGAAAGATAGTGCGACAAAGTTGAGGATCTCGCCAAAGATCATCAGTGTCATGCCCGACCACCACCAGAAGTTCTTGAGATAGCCGTATCCTTCACCAGCGACCTCGCTGTACTTCTCGTTCGCCTTCAGCAGGCCATACTTCTTCAGTACGAACGAACTGCCAATGAAGAGCCCCGAGGAGGCAGCGAGGACGATGCCGATGATCTTGAAGATAGGCGGGCGCTCGGCGCCGCTTGGCCCTATGCCGCCGGCCCGAGTGTACAGTCCGTGAGCCGCGGCCATCCCTTCCATCGCAGCCTGGTGGTCCATACTGGCGCGGACCTCCTTCTCCGGCTGACGGGATCTAGTCAGGCCCGACGCCAAGGGGGAAGCTCAGGGCGCGGCCCTAAAAACCCGGTGCCTTGCGGCAGGTCGAGTCGAAGCCTCGCAGATGACAGTGGTGTATCGCAAGTCTTTGTTCCGTAGACTTGAGAGTCGGCCGACAAGATCGCAAGAGCTGTCTCGGCGCGGTGGGAGGTTAGGCCAGGGAGGCATGCGTCGCTGGTTGGATATCGAGGCGCAGATATGATTCGCAGCTCCTGGGGTACCAGGGGATCGGGGAATTATGGAGGCGGAGAGGAACTGCGAGAGGCACGGCTAGAGCGCGGGAGACAGTAGGTTGCGGCGGGCGGGAGGCGATCGCTGTCCATCAGCCGTTTCGGCGGCCGGCTCGTTGTTGTTTGTCGGCAGGAATCTCGGCTTCGGCTTCGGTCTCTTCGGCTTGCTGCTTCAAGGCGAGACTGCAGTCAGTCTAGAATAAACGAGCGCTGTCGACGCTGGCAAAGGCGCGTGCCCTGTCAGGGAGCAATAGGACGCCGTTGGGCCTTTTGCGTGGTCCAACCGCTCAGGCGTCAAAACGGCAGCTGAGACAGTTGCCGTGTGGGAGCCGTCGTCATGTAGAAAATGTGGGGTGCAAAGAAAACAGCCAAGGGACGGGACAAGAGGCGCAAGGATGAGGGTAGGAATAAGGGACAATAAACAACAAGAGCTGGCGAGCGACAGCAAGTATTAGCACCAAGTATTGCTATTGCGCATGTAGGTAGGTAGGGCGTCTGGGCAGCCTGGCGGGCTGGATGGCGTTGGTATGTTGCGCAGGACAGCGTTTTGGATTCTTGGAAGCGAGGAGACGGGGAAAAGGAGGAGGGCAGGGGTCTTGGCCCAGGTCGAGTTGTTGCCCACAGTTATTGCGCACCACCGACAGACACAGCCTGGATCGAGGTGGAGACGTGGTGCAGCGATTGAGCTCCATCTGAGCAGTCATTGGGCCTGCCCGTTGGCATGATTTGATCCTGCCGTGTGGGTTGCTGGTCTGGACCTTCCTGTCTGGACACCCATTCCCGGTTTGCGCAATCGCCTGCGTTGGCTCTCAGCCGTTCGGTGCTTGTGCTTGTGCTTGTGTTTGTGGTGGCTGTGGTTGGTGTGTTGTGCTCAGCGTGGGAGCCATTCCTGGGAATTGACTTCTTCGAGTCCCCACAGCCATCATCCCGTAACATCCCAGGCCATCATCACATGAATTTTCGCAAACTTCGGATATGAACCTGCCCCGAAAGGAAGCCTGGCTGGCAGCCAGATTGAGACCCAATAAAGAAGACCTTGGTCGCGGGTTCCAAGGCACAAAATTGCATGCGAATAACCCCAGCAACCTCGGATATTTCGTACTTCGTTCTTTTGCCCCAGCCCATCTGCCGTATTCGCTCAACATCAGTTGCAACAGCAGGGCGGTGCTGTTGCAGATCCCACAGCGTCACCCCCAATGCCACCACACCCACAACGTTGCACTCCGCCTCAGCGATGATGTCAGGACGTGGAGGGACCTGAAGGACCCGAAGGGACAGCAAACAATCAGCCTCAGTTAGCGCTCAAATCAACCCAATCAGCGCCAATAAAACCCACACGATAGCCCGGTGCCAATCCAGCATCGGCCCCGATTGGACCCCAACAGTCGATTCCAGTCGCAGTTGTGACTGCACGGCAAAAGGCAATTGCAGCCCAATCGACTAAGCCTTCGTGCACCCTTCTGCAGCTGTCCAAAAGTCGACCTCGGTGCAGGGGCTACATCCGACCGACATGCTCACATTTGTGCACCTTTCTCACATCACCCACCAATACCCTGAATAGCATATTAGTGTGTAGCCGCGATGCATTCTCATTCCATCGGGCTGCTCTCCATCTGTGTGAGCTGCCAGATGCCTCCATGGAATGTTCACCAGTGATCCGCGCCAGGAACGGCCCACAGCCAAGCCGGGAGGCGTCATGTGTTGGATAGCCTTGGCGATCGCCGCAGCTTGGACTCGAGATCCGCCAAGACCCTAGATATCATATCCATCAACTGTTAGGTGAAAATACACAGGCCTACTGGAAAGACAACCACAACTCCATTCCACCGTGCCACCCAGCAGTTTTGGCCCCTCCCCAATATCCAGATCATGGCGGCTGGGTTAGCGGAACGACCGTCCGAGGCTAAGCCGACGCCAACGGCGAACGGTTATCCTTCCGTTATCACCAACCAAGCGCTTACTACAAAGTAGGCAGGAGGCGTGCTAGTCTGGCTTCTTCTGACTGAGCCTCCTCCCGAAACCCACTGTCCAAGCATATAAGCTCACAGGCCTGATCTGTGGCCCGTCGGCCATCTGCAATCTGTCGGCCAAGGTGACCAGCGGATATGCCTTCTGTTCTGCTGTCTGTCTCTCGCCTGGAATAGATACCCAGGCACCTGCGCTACTACCTAGCCAGGGCCAAATGCGCGAATACACTCGGAAATAATTCTTCATCAAAATCAGCGTTACCTTGACCGTGCCAATGCATTCACTGAACTCGCTCAGCCTGCCTGAACTCTGTCAAAGCCCTTTCAGCCACTTATGCGGCCAAAAACTAACATTTTATCCGGGAGGACGCCACTGTCCCGAAGACCACCTCCACGTCCGTCAGCCCACATATCAAGCCTATAGATGTGGCAGGGCCAGTCGGTTTTCCAGCCCTATGACCATGTTTTCTTCAATCACATCTTTTTTTCCCGCGGATTTGCTCCCTCTCAAACTGTCCACAGCAGAGCAATTGCCGGCAACCTTTACAGAAAAGCACATGCTGGTGACACCATATCTCGCAGCCTTGTTAGCTGCGCCAAGAGGCACATGGGCACTCTCTGCCAGCTTCAATCATCCTGTGGGAAACCAGTTTGTCGATGTTCACGGCCGGGCCGAGGGCAGAATACTCAACGGCCCAGGTGAGCCGCTCCCTGAGACGTCTGTCGCAGCACCTCTCGGGAGGCGAGACGTCCAGGCTGGGGGAAGGTGCGGAACGTCTGGAGGGCAAGCGGTATGCGCCGCGGGACTCTGCTGCTCAGAAACGGTCAGTGTGATGCCTGTGGGCGGCCCTCGATGGCAACGAGGAGCGGCAAGCTCCGAATCTGAGAATCATGTGCTCACTCTGGGATCTCTGGCACTTCTTTTCAGGGAACATGCTCTTCAGACTCAGCTTCTTGCGTTGCACCTGGATGCCAACTCGGCTTTAGCTCCAAGTGCGACGGCAACAAGAGTCCTTCGGGCAAAGACACCTCGTCGGTGCCCAGGCCGCTGATAGGGGACCTTCCCTATGGCGTCGAGCTGAAGCACTGCCGGGTCAACGGAACCGTGGCGCTGACCTTTGACGATGGGCCGTACATCTACACGAGCGAGGCGCTCGACATACTCGGCCGCAACGGTATCAAGGCCACATTCTTCATTGTTGGTGCCAACGGCGGCAAGGGCCAGATCAACGACCCGGCCTCGGGGTACGCGCCCATCATCAAGCGCATGTGGGACGCGGGGCACCAGATAGCGAGCCATACATGGAGTCATCAGGACATGACCACCCTGTCCAAGCAGCAGCGGCACGACCAGATCGTCAAGAACGAGATCGCCATCGCCAGCATCCTCGGCGTTTTGCCCACCTACTTCAGGCCGCCGTATGCCAAGTTTAATTCAGAAGTTTTGAGCGATCTCCAGGAGCTAGGGTATCATGTTGTATGTTCTGTGCTACCCGCTGCGCGACTCTCTTCCTCCCTTATTTTGATATGCTAATGCTGGGGCCATGTCATGGGGATAGACAAACTACGACGTCGACACGAGAGACTGGGAGGGAAGCCCTGCGAACTCGCGCAGCGCCTACCTGTCGGCCCTCTCGAGCCGCAACCCCGTCTCATCATCCTTCCTGTGCATTGCGCACGACATCCAGGAGCGCACCGTGCACGGGGGCCTGGTCCAGTACATGATCGACGAGGCCCGCAGGCTCAACTACAAGCTCGTCACCATCGGCGAGTGCATGGGCGACCCCAGGGGGAACTGGTACCGGGACGTCGCCTCGGGCCGGGTCTACGACCCGGAAAAGACGGGGCCCAAGGGCCCGCAGGACAACAAGGCTTCCGCCTCGCAGACCGCCAGCGCCGGGATGGCGGGTACTACCGCTGCATCGGCCCCCGGGGAGGCGAGCCCGGGCACTACACCAAAGACCTCGATAGCCGCCGGGTTTCGGTTCAGGTCTCCAGTGTGCGGCTTCTGGTGCGCAACCTTGTGTCTGGCTCTTTCCCCTTGTTTCCTATGACGAAATGAGGAAGAAAAGCGGGACGTATCGTCTTTGAGATGCCCGGTACTTTCCCCATTTGTGGGTTTGTGCTCAGAGACAAGACGTGGGATGATACCAAGCTAGGGGCTTCGGTCCGGCCTCCTTCCGGGTCCGGCTATGATGATGGACGCCAAGCAGCTATTTGTTGATCTCCATTGGTACCACCCACCCGCTTCGGTTACCATTCGCCTACCCTCAAGAAACACGGACCGTCTCATCGTCTTGCATGCACAGCAATCACAAGTCTGGTCCGCGCGCAATCGCCTGGTGGCACACTTGAGGCAGGAAAACACAATTCATTTCGTAGGGAAGGAAGTTCAAGGGTATTCGATAAAAGTATTCTGTGTAATTTGTCCCCAGCCGGCTCTTCTGACCGACACCAGTCAATTCCAGCACGCTGCCACACGTCTTACATCATGAGGTGCAGAAGAGCCCAGAAGGCCAAACCCATCCGAAAAAGTAAAAAGGGCTGTAAAAGAAGAAGAAGAAGAAGAAGAAGAGCAGAGAATCGACAAAAGTAGGAAGGCTTGGTATTTGCCAACAAGGAACGCCAAACAATAGCAGGCACGAAAGCCACCATGTAAAAAGAAGCATTTAAGTCACCACAGCGCAGGAGAAGTCATACTAGGGGCATGTTCCAACCCCGAACATTGCTCTGGTAAAAAAAAGAGCTTAGAAGCGCGAGCTCCTGCGGCCGCTGGTGACTGCAGCGCGGCGGGCCTTGGAGGCGGCGGCGGCCGAGGTGGCAACCTGGGCCAGGCACTCGGTCTGCTGCTGCTGGCACTGCGCGGTGCCGCCGGCGAGCTGGCCGCCGTTGGCGGCGTTGAAGCACTGGTTGTTCTGGATGTCGCACGAGCGCGTCAGCGCCGCCTGCGCGGTGGTGAAGGTGTTGCCGTTGACGGTGAAGGGGCGCGCCGAGCCGGCCTCGAAGGTGACGGCGGGAGCGGCGCCGCCTAGAGCGCCGGTGAAGGCCTGGATGTTGGCAGCGTTTGCGGCACCACCGGCACCAGCACCGGCACCAGCGTTGTTGTTGTTGTTGTTGCCAGCGTTGTTGTTGTTGTTTCCGCCAGCAGCGTTGCAGCCGTCCGCAGCGGCGCCACCGTTGTTGGCGTTGTTGTTCTTGTTCTTCTTGTTGTCCTTGGCGCTGTTCTTATTGCCATTGTTCTTCTTGCCGGCGTTGGCGTTGCCGGCGCCACCGGCGGCCGCGACGGCCGCCTGGATCTCGGCGTCGGTGGCCTCGACGACCAGCAGGTTCTGGCTGATGATGCAGCCGACGGCGTCGTCGGCGTCGTTGCACGTGTTGCCGGCGGCGGTCGGGTCGCCGATCTGGCCGGGCGCAAAGGTGCCGGCCTCGGTGGCCTTGAGCGGGTCGCCGCCGACCTTTGCGATCTGCACGGCCAGGTCCAGGATGGCCTGCTTGTTGCCGGCCTTGCCCTCGGCCGAGGCCGGGTCCTGGATGCGCGTGATGGCCGCGATCTCGGGGTTGGTGGCCGTGACGGTGGTGCAGAGCTTGCTGGCCTCGCCCACGCTGAGCGTGTTGCGCTCCAGCGCCGCGTACAGCAGCGCCGTCACCTGCCCGTCGACGCTGCCCTCGGCCTTGGCGTTGCTGAAGGCCTGGTCCGCCGTGATCTGCTGCAGGCAGTCGAGGTCGGCCGCGGCCACGTTGGGCGCGCCCTCGGCCGCCGCGGCGTTGCCGAGCAGGGCGAAGACGGGGTCCGCGATGGCGAGCGGGTTGTTCTTCTCCAGCTCGATCTTGACGGCCCGGATGACGGCCTCGTGGCAGTGCTCCTGCGGCACCTCGGCAGCGACGAGGCCGGCGAGGGCGAGGAAAGCGGCGGGGGCGTTGAACTTCATGGTGTCTTGTGTTGTGTGTGTGGAACGAACAAACAAATCTCCTCTTTTATAACGAAAGACTTTTCTTTTCTTCAAAGACAGGAAAGGAGGGCCGGCCCAGACGGATTAGAGAGAATACTTTTATGGGTAACGAGGGTAGAAAATAGGGCAAGTTCACAGAACTTGGGGAAGAAAAGAAGGGATGAAAGAAGAGAATGTAGGACTGTTGTGGCAAAAGAGCGTGCTGACCAGAAGAGAACCCTATCCAGTCTGGGAGAAGGCCGTGGCCTTATATACGGCATGAAGGGCGAGGCCGCCACCCACTCGCGGGCGGTCACGAAACGGAGTGTGTGGGCGCAATGTGTGTGTGGGCGCAGGCGTGGGCGTTTGACAGGCCAAGCGCCTAGCAGGCGTGGCAGGCCATGCCAGCAGCCTGGGGGGATGGGTGCCCGCCCCGAACATCGCTACGGGTGTGAGCTTGGGCCCTCATGGTGTGGGTGCCAGAGACAGGACCAGACAGTCGAGACCCACCGCGGCCTGGAGGGAGTTCCTCGGTAAGGTGCTGCTCCGGGTATTGCTTCTACTGCCAAGAGCGCGGAGGAATCCTGCCGTTGCCGCTAGAGGCAGGTACTTGGTCCTAGTTGTGCGTCAAGAGCTCCTGATATGAGCTGTATCTACATAGGTAGGTAGTTTTGATCTCTAGGCATGGCGACCCCCAGGCCTGCACAAGATGGATATTGTTGTGGCCGAGAAACATCTCTTGCGAGAATTCCGCCTCATTTGCAGTCTCCAGGAACGATATCCGAGCTTTTCCTTTCGTCCCCTTTCCCATCCCCTGCCAAGGAGAAAAACGGGCTGCAAGGGTTGGGATCCCGGCTCATCGGACGTGGCACTGGGATCTTGTTTGGACGAATTCCGCAAAGATCAGAAGCATGGGGATACTCGAAGCGATCACCACCTCGTCAGGATGGGGCGCATGGGAACAGACAAGAATCTCCACCCCACCGCACGTTCGAGGTCCGTCTGTGGTTGGCATTCCTCATAACAGGGCCCTGGACAAGATGGGGAGACTCATATATGCCCCTAACTCCGGACAGCTCGCCCCCTACCAAAGCGGATTTATTGCTCTTGAGATTACCCAATGTGCATGCCGGATTAATGCCGGCCGTATAGATAACAGTGGCCTCCATCAGCACGGGCAGAAAATGCGGCCTTCTCATACTAGTACACAATAATAATAGAGCAGGAATAGGCGTTCTCGACAAGCATGTCAACGGGCCGGCCAAGACGTCATTCAACGGCGGCCGGGCCTCCTCAGGGGGAGGGATTTCCCTGACCGTTTTGTAATCTGCACCTCTGCTTCAGTTGGGCGGCGGCTTGCCTCCAAATGCCCAGGAAAGCACGACGGCTCGGCGGGCGTCACCACGCGGACATGACGCCTGGCGCGTACGATGGGACGGAAAAAGAAAAAAAAAAGAATGCGATTTCGCCCATGCGGCAAGGATTGGCGGCGGACGGGCAGATGGGATTTAGGCCGTTCTGGATGGGCGTGATCTTGGGCCAAAAGTCGACCTGAGGCAGGCCCCTGTCGGGACGGGCCAGAGTTCAGACGGTCAAGGTTGCTCCCAAGGTTTCAACCGAGCGGAGCCGCACACACGGAATACCACCACCTATTCGACCTTGGCCACACAAGAGGCGAGAGGGCCCGCAAACCTCGCTTGCTTCCGATCGCGCAACTGACTAAGGTAGCTTGCCCGCCGCTTGCGCTTGACCTCACGTTATGCTTAACGCTCTGCCGCCCTGAAGCTTGGTCCCTGGCCTCGAGCACTGATTTCCCAAGCTGGATTTTCATGCCTGGATATCGCCCCAGGGCACGGATTCTTCACCCGTCGATCCGTCAACATATCCGTCCTTGACGTCAGACGGCTTCGGGCATGTGAACAATGTGAACAGGTGATTTCACCCCTCTCACAAACCCGCCCCAATTTTCTGTTTTTATTCTGTTCGCGCGCGCGCGAATATGAAACAAGGCTTCTGTTTTCTACTTCTCTTCTTGTCTCCTGCCACTGTCTGTCGCAACAAGCAAGATCGGCAGTGCTATCTAGAAGAACTTGGGGCGCTCGGTTGACCACTTGGCGTTTTGTCGCTTCCATCGCCCGCCTCGCTAACAGGAAAGCTGGGATGTCACACTCCAGATCTTTCCCACTGCGACCCCAAGCTTGAAATGAAAGGGCGTGCGTCCAGACGCGCTCCGGGGCCTTATCCGCCTGCCAGCCCACCCTGGCCTCGGCTAATGCCCGTTGGGGACTTGTGCATTTGTTCCCCCTTCTCAAACACGAGCGCCTCCACCACTGCACGTTTGATGAAAAATGTTGACCTCCGTATGAATTATCCACCACGCAAGCGTGCAACTCCACATCGAGTCCAGCGATCTGGTCGAGAATCAGGTTGCCGTCCCCTGACCGTCTCCCAGACGAGCCCGATGCGAATCGGTGGAAAATCGACTGTTGAACGGACGACAAAATGAGCAAGGGCACTTTTTTGATCCTAGCCGTCCCGTCCCCCCTTTTGTACCATGGATATGGGTTCAAACCAAACGTCCCCCGGCTGGCAGTTTTCTCCGCCGGCGACATGCGTCTACTACGGAAACGCTGCGAAACTGCATGAAAGGGCTGGCAGAACCAAAAATAAAGGAAAGAAATCATGCTGGTGATTTGTGACGGTGGCAAAGGTGTCTGCGTGATCGCCAGCCCAAATCCAAATCCACGGTCTGTAGTTCCGTGGGCATAGCTTTCTCGCAGTCGATCGTTCGCCCTTTAACCAAGTTAGGTGCACATGCTTGATGGATATTGTTTAATGACGTGCGGGATATCAAGTTGGAAAAGCCTAGCTTCAGGATGCTTCGCTCCATTGTGTCCAGTCAACCCCCCCACGGGTAATCATTCAAGATGGCCATGTTACCCCCTAGCTACTGTACCACTGCTGTGAAGCGTTCCAGTGCCGTGTGGGTTGGCGTGCTGTGCCTCTCCCCTCACCCACGGATCCAACACATCCGGGCGTTATGTTGTACAAGATGGAGATGGAGGGAAACAGAAGTGTGCTCCAACGAACAGACAGTGACCACCCCCCTGGGGGAACGCTGTCGACGTCCGCGTTGGTGTGTTAGCGGGTGGCATTGTACCAAACTTTTGTCGGCAGATGACGCATAAAGTCGTCTTGCGCGGCGGGATGGTGTGCTATCCCCACCCAAATCAAAGCAGCGCTGCATGGTTCAACACCGGATGGCAGCTCATCCGAGCCACCATCCGTCTGCCGCTCGCCGAGAAACCGAGCCCCCTTTGCCCGCCAGGCAGAACTTCTCTTTTGATTTATCTCCATTGGCTGTCGAAACAAAATACTCCGAGTGGTTAATGGCAACCCATACTATACTACTCTGAAGGAAGAAAGAAAAAAAAACCAACTAACCTAGCTAAGCTTCTAGTCCCGAGATGCGTGGGGTTTATCGGAGTATTTAGAGGCACTAGGTTCATCCATGGTCTTAAAATGCCATCTGTCGCTCGCATCGTGACGTTTGACGGCCCAACCCGCCGAGGGAAACTTGCACACATGACGGACAAGTTCAAACGTGGCGATCAGCCAACAGCGTTCGAACCAGGGAACACCCAACCGCCTCGAGGATTCCATCGGCAGATTACATGCTGTTTGGTTTCCTGTTGGGGCAATATCTCATCCTGTCCAGTGTCCACCCCCGAAACGCTTCAAGTGGCGCAGACGACGGAATGCCTGCCCACCACTGTACAAAACAAGAAGGTGGACGCGCGCACGTCCGCTTCGAGGATCCGGACAACCATGACTTTGAATAAACAAGACCGACCACCTGCCTGCTCCTTTTCATTGGATTTTGACCAAATCTATGTGCGCCGGGATAAGGGGATATTTGCATCTTGAGGGACCAACAAAGGGAAAACCGGACATTGAGCGCATCTTTTTTTATGTCTATAAAAGCCTCCCGTCTCCGCGGATCCGTACTCGTACAACCTCGGGGATGGGGCCGCTTTAACCGATGATCAGCTTGTCGTCCTCCGGGAAGTCGTATGCGGGGATCTCCAGGTTCAGGGGAGCAGGCCCCTTCCTTATACGGCCAGAAATGTCGTAGTGCGATCCGTGGCAGGGGCAGAACCAACCGCCGTAGTCGCCAGCCTCGCCGATGGGGACACAGCCCAGATGTGTGCAGACGCCAAGCATGACGAGCCACTCGGGCTTCTGGACGCGGTCGTCGTCGGTCTGGGGGTCCCTTAATGCCTTCACGTCCACCTTGTTCGCCTCCTCGATCTCGCTCGGGGTCCGGTGACGGATGAAGACGGGCTTGCCGCGCCACTTGATGATGACGTTCTTGCCTTCGGGGATCGTGTTCAGGTCGACCTCGACCTTGGCCATGGCCAGGACGTCGGCCGATGCCGACATGTTCACCAGGAACTCTGTGCGCCGTGGCGAGGGAAGAGTAAGCAGAGTGACCAAATGTTGCATCTTGGTCCCCCCAAAGGCGCTCGCTGCTACCGCAAACATTCCCTCCACTCGTGGTGGCGTGATACTGTGCGATGCGCCGAGTCCAAGCTCCGAAAGCGAGCGCAAAGCGGCAACGCCACCCCTCCCCCTCTTCCATCACAAGCCGGCTTCAACCCCCAGGGAAGCTCGAGTCTTCGTAGATCCCGACAAGTCGCTGCCGTGGCCGCAGCCGATCCCCCCACCAAAGCAGAAAGCACTTACCCTGGACGGTAGACTTGGCACCGGCGGCGCTGATGGCGCCCATGGTGCCGACCATGAAGTAGGAGAAGACCTGGTTGGCCGTCTGGGAGCTCTTGGGCGCCAGGTACTTGGACCAGTCGGGGATCTTGGAGCCGGCCGTCTCGCCGCGGAAGGGGCTCGAGAAGGTGGACGAGGACGAGCCGTTCTGGGCCGGCGTGGTGCTCAGCGCGCGGGCCATCGGGGCGGCCGAGGCGGCGGTGCTGCTGCAGCGCGGGACGACGGCCGACCGCGCTAGGGCGCGGGTTGCGTTCGTGAGGGGCGCCATAGCGAGGGGGGTTTGCGGCTTCAATTGGAGGGTGTGCGTTGGGGTCGGCGTCGACGTTGGGTTGGCCTCAATGCTTCTGAGGTCTTTTTTACTGGGCCTCGTCTTTGGTCGTTCGACCCGGTTTCCCGATGTTCTGCCTCAGGCGTGAAGCTCAGGCTTCCTAATTGGTGGGGTATCATTGGCTGGAGCAACAGCTCTGGCTCAGTCACGTGAAATGTACTCCGAAACCATCCGATTGCCCGACGGTGGTATGCGGCCACGTGATTGCTATTAATACAAACTAACAACAAAGATGGGAAGATATCAGATCCTACAAGTTATGCCGAGCACCTACCTAGTCTCGGACCGCTATTTTGTAAAACCCAGAGACGCTTGTCTGTTTATAATCTTAATATGGTCCCACCAACGCCTTATACATGACAGCCACCGCCAGAATCCACTCATACCTCGGTGCTTGTTTGTGCACATTCGTCTAGTGCATGTTCTTCAGTTCTTCCACCAGGTTTCGCATGTCCTCTACGCTGGGACCTAGATCCCGGCACACCTGAGATTGCGTCTCCTCGTTCATATCCAGAAACCGCTCGATGTATTCGCCGTCAATGAAACGGACCGGACCATCCGCTTCACGCTCGGCATTCCGGAACGACCTGAAGTTTTTGAAGGGTATGTTTCCCAGAGTTCCCACATAGTCTTCTAGCCTGTCTTGGAGGTTTAGCAGGAGGTCTCGCATCTGCGGTGCGATGGCCCCAACAAGATAGATAGAGCCTTCGGTCTGTGAACAAAAAAAAAGAGTCCATATTAGCAGGTCGGGCGGATCAGAGTGAGGGAATGTTCGTGTTGGAGCCTTACCGTCGACAAGAACGCCTTGGGGTGAATAGGCGCATTTGGGCCCGTCTCAACAGAAATCTTCTGGATGCGGTTTATGTTTTCACCCAGGTTGATCTCGCTCGTGATCTCCATCCGCCGCCTGTCCTCCAGCGTGACCCCCGTGGTGTTGCGTCCCAGAACCATGACATTTCCATCAGCGTCCGCCTCGAGCCACGATTCCCCTTCGAAATGAGCCACCGCTGTCGACCAGGACGACTGGTAGTGCCGGCAGACCTCAATCAGCTGTGCCGGTTTCTTCGTCTCTCCGGCTTTTCCATCTCCCGCCACCGTCGTCGGGGGCACGAACTCGACGAGCGACATCGACTTCATAATGTCTCCGACCGCTATCAGACGACCCTCGACTGCGACATCGATGGCGTAACTCGTGGTTTGATACGAGGCCACCTTGATAAGCTTGCCCGAAGTAGACGTCAATTCTTCGTATCGTGCCACCACCACCGTCTTCGTGAGAGCAACGACAATCATTTCCTCCATGACGGCAAGCCTCCGGCAGCCGCTCTTTAGAGGATGCGAGACAATCTGGAACGGCGATCGCTCCTCGTCGACCCCAAAGACGAGCACCCGCCCCTTGCTGTTGGATCCTGGGACCAGGTTCTCATCGACGAGAAACCGTGTGCCGACGATAAACCTCTCTGCTAGACGGCCAAAGGTGTCGCGGAGCTGCGCCCGTATAACGGTCTCGACCACCTCTCCTTCATTCAGCTCGAATGGGTTGCCCAGTGGCTGGAGCACCACCTCGTCAACGAGCCTAAAGGTACTGGACGCTTTCTCCACGCCTTTGGAAATCTCTCGTCGGATGCAGCCCAGCCCAAAGACCCGCGTCGGCGCCGAATAGGCGATACTTCGCACATTCTCCCCCATGGGCAGCGATTGGACGTGGCTTTGCCGCTGCGGGTCAATCTTGGAGATTTTGAGCTCGGAGTCGGTTGCTACCGCAAGCGAACCTGGGAAGACGGCAGTGTCAAAGGGACACACATATGTCGCCGATTCCGCGGTCACGGCCGAGTATATGATTCGCTTGTCCGACCCATATATCAAACTTGAATGCTCGCTAGTGACAAAGATGTTGCACACATCTCCGGGCTGCGGCAGGACGTGAAAGCGAGCTTGACGTGTGCCAAGGACAACGCTCTTACGTGCCGATAGCTTGCCCACGTCGTTCAGTGTGAAGGTGACCACCTCGCCATCGTCCATTGACACGAACAAAGTTGGGCCTGCCACTTCGGCCGGGAGCACTCTGGCGAGGACAATGTCGCGAGGTACTATCGCGGCGTCTTTTGTCCTGCGCAGCGTTTCGCTGTGTATGACATCCAGAGTGCAAAGATTTATGATCGACACAGACCCGTCTGACCAGAACCCCACAGCTCCTATGTCAGGGAGATGTGGTGACGCAGCAAGACAGGATATCTGATCATTCGGGCTGCTTTCTCGCTGCGTGCTCACGGTGAGGTCCGGGATTCGTAGGGATACCAGCGTCTTGCCATCGATTGAGAGAAGAAGCCATTTTCCGTTGGTCGAGCAACCTGTAATTACGCGACCAGTCGGCGGCTCCCAGGAGCTGATTGTTATTCCGGCCTCGGGGCCGATGACCGAGGCTCCATGGTCGGTGATTTGGAGAATACTGTCGTCGCCTAGATTGGTTACTAGAAGTGACCGCACTGATAAATCAAGGCCTTGGAAGGCCTCGACCTCCTCGATGTCGCCTTCGGCGTCGAAGGTGAAAACCCTTGTTTCGGTGAGAAACGACGCAACCAGAGCATTGGTCTCCCCGTTTGACTCAAGCGGAAATAGCCCCCTGACGCCCGGCATGTCTGCAAGAATCCCGATGTCATCTAGCCTGACTCCGCTTCGGACACTTCGCAGACTCCCATCTCTGTGGGCGCCGCTCCCAGTGACTATGCGGGCCTGACCAGAAGCATACTCATTTCCGACGGTGTTGTCGGCTTCGCGGTTGCCCATATCCATGACGGTAAAGTCAAGAATCGGGGCAATGCTGGGGAGCGTCTGCACCGTCTCGACCAGCGGCCTGTCCGTGTCCTCGCGGACCAGGTTGAGGCACAGGAGTTCGGAATCGCCATAGTGCGAGCCGACGAAGAGATAGCCACTGTCCAGGCAGACAAGTTCGTTGGCGCGCGAGGCTTTACCAATGAGGCAGACGATGATATCTTTCACTGTTACCCCGTCCTCCTTGACGTCTAGGGTCAGCAGATGCAGACCACCATAGTCGTCAGCTAGGATGTAGTGGGAAGCGTCGCATTTGGCCCATGCGACGAAGACCATGGGGCTCATGAGGGCGGTCTCGACGGTTGCCTGTGTCATGTCGTCGATGTACAGAACTTGCGTCTCGCCCACGACCAGCAGGCCTCCAAGGCGCGCGTCGGCGCCCGGATTCCGAAAGTGGTGCCGCTTCGACTCGACCCGCTCGACCGGAATCAACATGACTGCACCGGGGTCTGGAATGTCGATGTCTATTATCCGATCCTTGAGCGGGTCGAAACGAGAGACCTCCAAGTCCTTGTCGTCGGAGCATAGGCGGTATGCGACCAGCTTGGATTCCGGAACGTTCGGCTTGGTCTGGTACAGAAAAGCCACGCGAGGATGGGCATCTTCGGAGTAGAGGAATGCCGCGTCCTTGATGTAGAGCTCGGAGATGCGTGACTGATCCAGCAATAGCAGGTCCCTCTGCTTGCCTTTCCTACGCTGCAGACACATGACGTTGATGACGCCGGACCAAACCAGCATGACAATGAAGCGTCCGGATGGGTCGACAAGGCACCTATGCCTCGTGGTAACATCTCTCACGAACTGCTCTCCATGGTCGAGAAAATCCTGTACGGTCTCCAGCTCGCGTGTCTCCTGGTTCCACAGGACGGAGAAGTACCTAAAGCGATCGGTGCCGACAAGGATCATCTCGGTCGGAGAGTCCTTGGGCTGGAGGGCCTGGAGCATGACGATGGTGCCATGGATGGTCTTGGAATGGGTTAGGGTCAGGTGGCCGCCGGCGACCTGCCAGACCTCGAGGCGGTTAGACTTGCTGTGTTCCAAGGCGCACTGTTGTGTTAGCAGTGGTTCCTGGGGCAAGTCTGTGCGTGGCTTCAAGAGGGGGAGAAAAAGCGGGAGCTCTCGTACGCAAGGACCAAGCACGGCTCGCCCTCAGGCAACAGCCGCACCTGCAGGGCATGGCGCACGCTGCTGGCCCGGTGGATCGGAGCTATATATGCCATGGCGAATGATCCCGGCAACGAATGCAGCGTGGCCAGGAGACAACTCCAGTCATGTCCGTGCGGCGGCGGTGTCGATTGCTGAGCGCGCCTGGGTGTGGCGGCGACGTTGGCGGACGCGATACAGCTCGAGGCGGCAGAGTTGGCGGCTCGGTGATGCAATCGAGGCGGAATAGCGGGATAAATCGCCAACCTAGTACCCAAGGGCGGGCAGCTCTGCAGCGGAGATGAGGTTTCCACAGCGTTTGCTATTAGTGGGGCATTTACGGCAACCGCTGCCGCAGGTTCCATGTCGGAAGGTGCGGGTGGGGGTAAATTGACACTCGCGTGGATCAGCCCCCCACATCTTGGACTTCAACTGCCATCCAAACGGCCATGGAATGAAGAAAAGCCAGAGTCGATGGGTGATTAGCAGTGTGATGACATAGAAACTAGACACAACTGAACCGCGCTGAACGCCGGCTGGTGGAAGTTTTAGCACAGGAGGAAAATACGCTATGTACACAAAGATGAACAGCCTATACCAACACCCCAACCCCACGGAAAACCAACCCATATTACGACATGCTGTCTCGCGCTGGCCTCCCTATCTGGAGAGTACAGCCCATGCAAGGTGTAACCTCGCATCACGACAACGATGAAGGGCATACCACTCATCCACAACAATCCCATCGCGTCCAAACAGCAACCAGCCATGCTTTGGTCATGCGACGACCGACGGCGAACCACTGCCGTGGCGTGCAAGGATAACGGGCTTCATGCCATGAACCTCATGGTACGGTTAAGCCCTTGTTGTCTGACGGCCTTTTCCACGGACAAACGCAGCTGCTTGGCTCTCCGCACAACCTCTTCCGCCTCCATGGTCGCTGCGTTGTGCTCACGACCTGCCGCAGCCAAACGGCCAATGTCCTCTGCCACACGGCCGAGAAGCTCAAACACCCACGAGCCCAGGATACCGTCTGATGAGCCGTCTCCAACGGGGCCCCGGCTGACCGACTGCAGTCCATGCCGCTCGACCTCACGAAGCCATGCCTCAACCGCCGTGTTGATCCATGCACCCACAAATCGCCGCCGGCGGCCGGTGAAGGGAGCCTCTTGCGCCTCAAAGATGGGCTCCAAGATGCGCACAATCACCGAAGGCGACACTTGCAGCTGCAGGAAGAGCAGCACCGGCCACGAGTTGTCGGCCCCGATGCTCTCATCCTGTTCTTGCGTGATGGCATACTCGCACACAATCGGTAGGAGTGTGTCGATCGGGAAAATCATGGTATCCAGAGATGTTCGGTGCGCAATCATCTGGATCTGCATCGATACAGATTCGTAGGGTGCCGGCGGAGGCGGCTCCGAGAGATGCCGCTGGGCTGCCGCCAGCTGCCTCTCGTACTCCTCACGGCGCTCCTCAATCTCCTGGTGGGTGACGCTTATAAGGTTCTTCCACGTCTCTGCAATCAGTTGTGTCTGGTGGAAGTCGGCAGCATGGTAGATGAGCAGACACAGGTTGTAGTATCCGGCAGGGTCGGCATATGTGTTGAACAGCTGCGGTGCCTGTTAGCGTACTGCCTAGTGACGAGGGCCAGAAAATGCTTGAACTTACCTCGCTCAGTCCCTGGATGGGCCCGTCCAGGGCTTGCTCTGCCTCAGCCTTGCGCTCATCTGGTATTCTCCGGTCTGCCCTCAGCCTCTCCAGCAAGTCGTCTTGTATATGTGCAATCTCGAGAAGCTCAGTGATCTCGTGGCTCAGCAGCTGTTGTTGCTGTCGGTTTCCGCTGAGGGTAGACACGCTGGCATTACCCTTGGCCCGGCTGAGTAGCGTGATGCGATCCTTGATGCCGATGGCAAAGTCGGAATTGGCGAGCACGGACTGCACCTGTGCAGCCTCGAAGAAGAGCCCCCGGTGCGTGTAGAAGCGGCAGAGGAGCTCCGCATGGTGAGCGTCGACTGTGGCAAGGCGCTGCAAGAAGGTGACGACATGAGGCGAGTCTATCGCCAAGATGCGGTCCGTCCAATTCTGCTCAATATACCACTCATAGAGGTCAAAGTGGAACACTTCGTCGTCCGAGTCATTCACGACCGAGTATGCCTCCTTCCGTTTCGTTGCAGCCACCGTTGGCTTTCCATCAACTAGGTCGGGCTCCGTGCTAGATGCAGTATCAAGACGCTGTAGCACAGTGTGGATAAGATCGTAGCAACGCTTGCGGTGCTTGAAGGCGGTCTGCCTGACATCGTTGGCGGGCTTATTATCGTTGATCCAGGCCAGGGCAGAGTTCCCTCGGTCGTTCTCCTTCGCCACGGTGAGACAGAGACGAATGGCAGCAGCGTAGTACTTCAAGTCAATGTACTGCGAAACAGCACCTTCGAGGTTAGCGAAGGTTAGACTGTTGGCAACATGCTCGAAGAGGCGCAGGCTCTCGCTGAGGAGTGCTCGCTGGGAGTTGGGGTTGGAGGACTGCTCCGAGGCACGCTTGAGCTGCTCTTGGGCCTTGAAGATAATGACATCGTCAGGGCTGCAGAAACTGCCACAACGTCTTCGAAGCGCATCGGCGACCGTCTCCACATTGGATCCGCTCTCGATGTTGCGGTTGACGATAGCCTTGACCAAGAGCTTGGCCAGCTCCTTTCCTGCAGACTGCGCGAATAGACTCTCATACGTGAGCTCCTGCAGTTGCTTCTGGGTTTTCTCATCCAGGCGCAAGTAGATGTCAGCGACTCGCTCATCGAAGAGCATGACAACAAACGAGATGCCCTCTGATATGCTCTCCATGAGCTTCTGGAGCGCATGAAGCGACTGATGCTCGGCTTGGAGCGCAACCTCCTCTTGCCGACTGCTGACATGCTGGAGGTCTGCGGGACCGGAGAGTCCCTGGATGATGCCCTTGTTGATTTTCAAGAAGTTGCGGAGCCTCTCAAGGTTCTCCTGAACAATGGTGAGCTTGCTGATGGGGATCGTCGAGTTCACCACGACCACGCTGGTCTTATCAATCTTGCGCTCGATCACCTTGGCATTCCAGAGTGTCCGGATGAGACGAGCGAGATAGAGCACAAGCGCGTCATGGCGAGACGACAGCTTGACCGACGGCGTAGTGAGATTGACATTTCCGTCTGCCTCGGCAAGGGTTGGCTGACCGCCCCAGGTCACAAAGGCCGTCTTGGCTCGGTCTGTAGTGGCCTGGTCGATGGCACGCCCCGTACCTGTCCTAAGGTCGCTCCCCTGGCCACAAGCGACAGCGAGGGCAGCCGAGATAGTCTCCACGCGCCCATAGAGCTGGACAAACTTGCGCACCTCCTTTTCCAGCCCTTCATCCCCGACCGCGGCCCTCACAGCAGCGGCGAAGATATCCACGAACCGTCTGCGGCGAATGATATAGATCCCACTGCTAGTAAGAACCGCGACTTCGCATGGTTCGTCATCGAACTGGACAGCCAGTTCGTTTCCAAATCCCAGTGGTTGCTTGGCCGCTGCGAAAGGTTTGGTCATGAGCCCGACGTCCAGTGCGACCGCTTTGGACCCAACATCGACCCAGGTGGCATGTTCATAAAACTTCAGCGCAGAGGCGAGTCCCGTGTGATTGATACGCCCAGCATCGGGGGCTGAAACAAAGAGTGTCAGGCCAGATTCTGTCGTGTTAATGAAATCGAAAAAGTAGCCAGGTGCAAACCTGAAGCCAAGCTGGCTCGTCTTGAGCGGATTGGCTTCTGGGTTGGTCGCCGAGGGTGGGAATTTGACGAACTGCACCTGCATCGACTGCGGTGCAAGGTTGGGGTTCAACTCTGCCGTGTACGTGGACGAGTAGGTGTCGGAGTAGGCAGCGGAGCTCGTCGCGCTGAGAAAGAGGCGGCACCCAGTATCTGTGAGCGCCATCAGGTGCAGCTTGGACGCTTCTTGTGCGGCTATCGGGCTGATGGAAACGATTCGCACGCGGTCGGTAAGCAGTGCCGTCCGGCTAATCATGTGCGTGATGTCGCGCAAACAGTGGTTCTTTTCCTTGGTGATGCGCAGAACGAGCTTGTTGGCACTCTCGATAGAGTAGGTCCTGATGGTCGACTTGTTGGAGAGGGTATAGAGAAGGTTTCTTGTGTTGTCCACCTTGATGTCGACCAGATGCTCGTGACTCTGCGGCGACCACAACCCAGAGCCTGGAAGCCAGGTTATGGAGGAGGACCAGCCGGCCTGGGAGTGGTTGATCTTGCTACAGCGTCCGGAGAACCACTTCTCTTCCTGTTGATAGCAGAGCTCGTAGATGTCGGTGTCTCCTTCGCCGCCAAAGAAAATGCGTCCCGAAGACGTGCTCGCGATGATGTTGATGCTGTTGGAGGGCGCGTGCAAAGTCATCTTGGTCGAGTACAGCTCCACCGCCTTGGTCCCATTCGGTTGTGAGGTTACGGCAAGACCGAGGAGGATGAGGTCACTGGTCGTGGCAACAACCAGGATGTGTGTGATGCTGTCGAGAAAGACGCCAGGTCTGGGCGGCACAAGCGCGACCGTTTGGATGCTGTGCGGCTGGTCCTCAAACCCGATGATCTCGGGGTTTGGCTGGTTGAAGTTCCACATCAACAGCGCGTTGTCAATGCAGGCGTATGCATGACCGATCTCGGCGAACAGACCCATCTTGGTACTAATATGGCTCATGTTATAAGTCTCGAAGATACGGTCGGGGATCGGATACATCTGCGTCCTCTGGAAGGGGGTCCAAGACGACTCGATGGCCTGGACATCATAGTCGGAAGACGCGCCGGCTGAATTTTTGTTAGAGGTCGTTCAACGTTGCGCGCAGCCCAAGTGACACTGGAAGGGGCGTGTGAAATGGGATACGCCTGGGTACTTACGACGGCAGAATGAGTCGATCTCTGGGTAATTCTCGTCCTGTAGTAGGGCATGTTTTATCTCGTTCGCGGCCTTCTCCACTGGGGGTAGCTCGGGTTGTTGAGTCTGGAGCTGCCCTGCCTGCGTGGCAGAGCTCGAGATTGCGTCGGGTCTGTAGTGCGACTGGGCCGGTGTTGATGCTGACGGCGTGTCAAAGAGTCGGCGTCTGACGGGGTCGGGCCGGCCACCAGGAGCTGGTGTCGCGAGAAATGCGCCGGGCACAGGTCGCGCTGGCGTCTGGGACGCCATGGTTGGCCTCGCTCACGACGGCCTCTGGGGAACAGACCCGTATCGCGTCCTGGCCTTTTCGTCGGCGCTTCGGTGTCCAGCAGCGCTCGTCGCTGTCGAGGCAGGGGAGAGGAAAATCGAACTGGGAACCAAATGAAGAGGTCGAGTGAATAAAGCTCTCAAGCGACGTCGTCAAGAAACCATGAGGCAAGGACGGTGCCAGATTCGGGCCACAACAAAGGCTGGAAAGCAAAACACCCTCGTTGGTCAATGGCGTGGCCGAATTCTCGGAGACAAAAGAGGAGTGAAGTTCGCGCCTTTGAGCTGTTTCCTTCTGCCAGGGTGGAGAGCTCAGAGAAACCCGCCAAAATTTTGGCAGCGACGCGAAATCGCACGGGGCGCACGCGACGGAGGCAGGCAAAGCGCACCAGCAGGGAACCGCAACCAAACCGCGCTAGTCTTTTTGCGGTCAGTGCCCCAGGTGCAGCAACCCCTGCTCGACCCATCGTCATTGAAAACTCCCACTGTGATTCTACCAGCGGCATCCCATACCTGCGATTCTGGGAGAACTACCAGAATACTTTGTGTCGTAAAATCACCCAAATAATACGTCCCCGAGTACTACCTACCTGTATCTATCTGAAATTTTCGTGACAATTCCCCGTATTCAATCTCACAATGAACATCCCATTAACGACGAAAGGACGCCTTGTACGACCCAGGATAGGCGCCTGGCATAAACCTATGTTTGCCAAAGGAGAGCATATACAGAGGTTCCAAATAAGTAGGTATCTAGGTATTCATATAGTCTACCAACTTGGTTTGTCGCGAGCCTCTGGCAAAGCACCGCCTGCTGTTGCCTGTTCAAATGCTCTGTTCAGACCACAGCCAAGAATAAGCCATTTATCATCAACATAATAGACCTTTCACGGCTTACAAGTTAGAAACATCCATTCAGACGCCTCCAAGACTGCCAGGCACTCGTCCCCCCCTCAGGCCTTCTTCGCCTCCCTCGCCGCCTTCCTCAAGGCCCTGTTGCGGATGTCTATGTGCATGTTGAGGTTGTACCAGATGCCAACCCTGCTGCCGGTCCCGACCGTGTTCTCGACGACCCATTGGAATATGGCGTGGCTCCACCAGGGCGTGTACGTGTAGGCCATGCGCTGCGACCCGCAGCCGACCTTGTTGAGCGCGGACGACACGAACGGCTTCATGTTCGGGATCAGCAGGCTCGGCCGGCGCACCTTGCTCATGGCGCCCACGATCAAGTAGCCGAGCATTAGGTGCACGTCGACCTTGGAGGCGCGCAGCTCCTCGGCCAGCGAGCTGGACCACTGCTGCAGGAACGCCTTGCTGCCGCTATAGGTGGCCAGGTAGGGTGTCGGCATCCAACCGCCAAATGAGCCCATGGTCAGGATCAGTCCGCCGCCCCGCTTGACCATGATGGGTGCTACCGTCTGCGTAGTCTTGAGAGTGCCCAGGCAGTTGATGGTGACAATACCCTGCAGCTCCTCGCGGGGCGTCTCCAAGAACGACACGGGGATCGAGTGACTCAGGCCCACGTTGTTGATGAGAATAGCCACATCCAGGCCGGCAAGCGCCTGGCCTAGCCTGGCGTAGTCCTCGTCCTGGTCTTTGGAGTAATCCATTGCGAATACCTTGGTCTGCACGCCCTTTCCACCAAACTTGGCTTCGAGCTCCTGCGCCAGAGCCACAAGCTTGGATTCGGTGCGAGAGACCAGCATGATGTTGAATCCCTTGGCGGCAAGCTGCGATGCGAACTCCTTGCCAAGCCCGTCCGACGCGCCCGTCACGACCGCCCAGCTGCCATTCTTGCCATACTTGCTCAGCTGCGATTTGTGTGATTGTCAGCATGAACTCGATCGTGCAACAGCTGATGGTTCAAGTCTGTGCAAGATGGTCATACGTTGGTTCCGCTGAGAATGAACAGGTTCAGCGCCAGGTGCAGGTAGCTGAGGACTTTGCTGCCGAGGTAAAGCGCGCCAACGCCAGCCAGTGCCCATTGCACGCCCTGTGGCACAGAGCCCAGCGCCTGGGTCAGGCCGTCCATGGCTATCGGAGATTTTCTTCCTTCTGTCGTCTCTGGAGAATAACCTGGCCTGGTCCCGTGGGAGGACTCTCGTCAATCAGGAGAAAGCCAGCAGGATCACTTCTCAAATGGTTTTTCGACCAGCGGTGAAAATTAGATTGTGACGTACACGTCGAACTTTTTTTTGGGGGGCGCCCTGGCCACTGTGCATTAGACGGCTGACTTGTCGCACTAATTGGCCAATCACAATGGGACACTCAGGAATCCAGGGTCTCACTGGAGCAGCTCTGGTGCCGCTTGGATTTTTGTTGAGCTCGGAAACGGTTGGCCGAGGTCTGGAGCTTCTCGTCTCGTTATTGCTGCCAGAAACTTTCTCTCTCCTGGCTTTGCTGCCAGAAAGCTCACGTTGCGTCGGCTTGCCTGCCTCCCCGTAAAACGAGACCTGGCCCAAAGTCTGACAGCAGCCGTCGAACGCCCAAGCAGCCATGGCCATCACAGACTACCTGCCCGCCCTGGATCAGGGTTACCTGCCCCTATATCTCCTGGTGGTACGAGACTTTGACCGATAGCATTCCTTTGGCACTGAGCCCCTTTTGCCATCTCAGATCTTGGCACCTTTGTCTGACATTGTTGCTTTCTCCAACTCTAGGTCTCAGTTGCCGCGATTGGCAATGCGGCCCAGAACTTCGGGACCCTGCACTACACGCGACGCATCTACAAGGGGCTGTTTGTGCCGAACCCGGCCCTGACGAGAGGGCGGGCCGCGGCCCCTACCACGCGGTCGAACCCAGAAGACAGCATCCACAAACTCGTGCCCGCATCGAGCACTGGCAAAGACGTCGAGAAGGCCAACGATCAAATGACGCCGCTCGCCGCCCGCCTCTTTGCCGCATGGACTTTCATCACTGGCGTCATCCGCCTGTACGCCGCCTACGATGTTTCCAACCCGGTTCTCTACCAGCTGTCGCTCCTGACCCACATCGTCGCCGCCTCGCATTTTCTCTCCGAGCTGCTTGTTTTCAAGACCTGCCCCCCGAGCGGGCCACTAGTTTTCCCCATCATTGCTGGATCCACCGGCTCGATTTGGATGGCACTCCAGTATGCGCACTACGTTGGGCCTATTGTCCTGCCCTGGGCCCGGTAGAGTGCTAGTTGATGTAATGAGTGGGGGAGAGCGTGTGCGGTGCAAGATCTGGTTTATAGCTCTCTTGGGGGCCCGTAATGCATGGTATATATATGTTGGAATAGCCGCCTGGGCAGGTAGACTGGTGAAACTCAGAGAGACTTTCGGTACAGGTCGCCACCACATGCCCTCAGACGAGCAGTTGCCTGCTCGGGTGTGATATCGCGTTGTGGCTCGGCCATGAGTTCATACCCAACAAGGAACTTTTTGACAGTCGCGGACCTGAGCAAGGGGGGATAGAAGTGCATGTGGAACCAGCTGCTTTCCGCCTCGTCCTCGCTACAGTCAAGGGGTGCCTGGTGGAGCCCAGAGCCTGCGTAGATGTCGGTATATGTGAGCAGACGCGATGCGGAAAAATGGGCAAAGGACAGCAGCAACCGCAGCATGGAAACTTACTATACGGAAAATTCGTCTCGAAAAGATTGTCATAACGGCGAGTGACCTCTTGGATCGCCTCGGCAAACTGCAGCCTCTCATCGTCGGTAAGGTCGACAAGGGCGCGGACGTGGCGCTTGGCAATAACAAGCACCTCGAATGGCCAGAGGGCCCACCAGGGGCAAACGACGAGGAAGCCATCGTTCTGCCAGAGGACGCGCTCCTGCTTCTCAAGCTCCAGTTTGACGTAATCTCCCAGAATGTGGCGTCCGCCGTGCTCGCTCCTGTATTTGGACATTTGCGCCAGCTCCTTGCCCGGCTCCTCAGGCATGCTCGACGTCGTCCAGACCTGGCAGTGCGGGTGCGGGTTCGAGCAGCCCATGGCCGCGCCCTTGTTCTCGAATATGGTCATGTACCGGAGCTGGTGAGGCGGGGCCGTGACCTTGTTCTCGGGCAACACGGCCAGTCTCTCACGCGCGGCGGCGGCGGCGGCGGCCAGCGGGCTCAAGGGGGACACGTGGGAGGCGTAAATGTCGGTCCACACGTTGATCACGGGGAGTATCTCCTGGGCTGTCATGTCGGCCAGTGTGACGTCGTGCTTGGCCGAGAAGGTGAGGACGTAGCATCGGCCTGTGGTCGCCTCGGCGCGCAGCAACAGCGATCCGAGATCTGTACACACGAAAAAGAACCGCAGTTAGAGATGCTCAGGGCCTTCGGCTACAGCATGGCTATACACAACATTGCAGGTAGCATCTGCGACTTACCCCCAGCATTGGCCTCGGGCTTGTACTCGGCCTGTTCCTCCTTAACGGCGCTATAGTCATTCACAAAAACCAACGTGTTCCTGTAGTCCGGGTTCTCGTCGCCCTGAGCACGTTTGTTCCGCGGGCACAGGTAGCATTCGGGGTCATAGGAGGGGAGCTGGTTCTTGGATGGCGCCTCCTGCTGGCCCTGCCAGGGACGCTTGGTCCTATGGGGCGAGACAAGAAGCCATGCGCCGGTCAAGGGGTTGTACCTCCGATGAGAGATTTCGTCCAGGATTTTGTCAGGCATGGCTCAACGGTCCTTCGAGAGCAAGAACACTCGAGCCAGTAGATACAGTCGAGAATATGACGGAGGCGAAGAAACAATTGCCCTTTTTTTATGTCCGTAACGGAGTTTTATTGGAGGCTCGTGTCTGCGTCTTCACGCGCCATTGGAGCGCATCACTGGCAGACCAATGCGGGGTGTTGCCCCAACTTCCCCACCTTGATATGATACCATGAGGGAGGAGCATTCCATCTGCGACGATTTTTAGAGGTCCCCGCGAGCAAAGAAAAAAGAAAAACTGATCCGAGGAGTGTCCGGAAGCTATAACGATTGAATATAGTTGCCCCAATTGGACTTTGAGATGGCTGTTTAGATTTCCTCCAGTTTGGCTTCTCTATGATGCCTTGACGGTAGCAATGAATGCCAATGAAAATATCGAGCATCATGCGTGCAGACGTCACCTTAGTCATGTGATACGGTGGTTCTGTGGAAAGCATGACTCGAAAGCCACCGTGTGGCGCGTGTGCCCCGATTTCATAGCTAGGTGGAGGACCAATCTAGCTGACGCGACGATGATGCGAACAGCGCCAAACATTCAATTACCATTCCATCAACATTCGCAGCGCAACTAAAATATCCATCATCGCGCAACAATCGTCATCGTCGCTACGGAGCCGGCTCGCTTACCCAGGCATTCCCGTGCTCTATAAGACGCTGGTGTGTCGAGGCCGCTGCACCGAACAACGCAGGGGACCCCCACTCAAACCTGACTACCTGCGGTTGCGCAACGTCCAGCTCGAACCTGCCCAGCACCCAGCGCGCCGCACACGATGGGTGTGATTAGGAAGAAGACGGCTGCCAGGGGAGCCGAGGGTGGTGTCAAATACCACTGCGACAAGTGCTCGGTCGACATAACCTCTACCGTGAGTGAGCATCTGCTGCCTGCGAACTCCTGCTGTGATATCTGCGGCTGTCTGCCGGTCTAGCTGGTGGTACACCCCTGCCCACCCCACACTGTACCACATCCGCGCCGTCCGCCTCGGCGACACTCCCGTCCTGGACACCGCGCAAGCTTCGTCGCTAACACCGTTACAGGTTCGGATACGATGTGCGCATAGTGCCTGCAACGACTACGACCTATGCGTCAAGTGTTTTGCCGACGGAGAATCGAGCGGGAGCCATCAGCCAGCCACACATCCCTACCGAGTAATAGAACAAAATTCGTTCCCTATCTTCGATCCAGAATGGGGTGCCGACGAGGAGCTGCTGCTGCTGGAGGGCGCAGAGACATACGGTCTGGGCTCCTGGGCCGACATTGCGGACCACATTGGCGGATACAGGTACAAAGATGAGGTGCGAGACCACTACATCGATGCCTACGTCAACTCGCCATGTTTCCCGCTGCCCAAGCGATGCAGCCCCCACGACAACGAACTGGCCAACGAGGTCACCCGCGAGGAGTTCCAGGCCCGCAAGAAGCAGAGGATAGAGGACAGGCGCGATGCCGCTAAGAACGCACCGGCATTGCAACCTAAGACCAAGCCGACGGCCTCGGTCCCCTCGTGCCATGAGATCCAAGGGTACATGCCTGGCCGACTCGAGTTTGAGACGGAGCACGCAAACGAGGCTGAGGAAGCCGTGCAGCTGATGCAGTTTGAGCCTGGTGATGGCATCAACCCCCGCACTGGCGAGCTGGAACCCGAAATGGAACTCAAGCTTACCGTGATGGAGGTTTACAACTGCCGACTGACCCAGCGCGTCGAGCGCAAGAAAGTCATATTCGAGCACAACCTCCTGGATTACAGGGAGAACAGCAAGTTGGAGAAGAAGCGGTCCAAGGAGGAGCGCGACCTGCTGAACCGCGCCAAGCCGTTCGCCCGCATGATGAACCACGACGACTTCGAAGCTTTCTCGCAGGGACTTGTGGATGAGCTGAACCTGCGCCAGGCCATCGTGCAGCTGCAAGAGTGGCGGCACCTTGGTATCGGGGATCTACGAAGCGGTGAAAAGTATGAGCAAGACAAGGCACAGCGCATCCAGAAGTCCATCCCGCTCGGGTCTATGGACCGCGAGCGTCTGGCGAGCAACCAGCGGAACAAGCAGCAGCAAGCGCCGGACCCGCCAAGCGGGGCCGCGGTTCTCATAACTCCCGAACTTCCCTTTAGGCTTGCAGGCCCGAGCGGCAAGAGCCACGGAAACGCGTTGGCAAGCGAGGCAGCGGCAGCTGCAGCGACGGCAGACAGCGCGGCCGGAAACGACGACATCGTAATTAAGAATGAGGGACTGAACGGGTTCCTCGACGGCGACAATAACAGCGTCATCGTTGCTAACGGCGCTGGAGGTATTAAGAAGGAGCCGTTTGTGCCACAGCCCCTTGTTGGCGTGACGCCGCTCCAGTTCACACTGGACGCGACACCAGATTTGCAGCTCCTGACCCCTGATGAGGTCAAGCTGTGTGAGGTGGTGCGAATCCAGCCGAAGCCATATCTGATGATCAAGGAGCAGCTGCTCAAGGAAGCGCTCAAGGGCAACGGCACGCTTAAGAAGAAGCAGGCGCGCGAGATATGCCGTCTCGACAACCAAAAAGGCGGCCGCATTTTCGAGTTTTTTGTTAATTCCGGATGGATCGGAAAGGCCTAATGTGGGCGTCTTGGGTTTTCTCAATTTCGTTAAATCGGTTTAGCGCTGTCATCAGGTACCCCCAAACTTCCGAACGGACCAGAATTATGTTTTCTCTTGCAAAATAGGTACCTGTAGTCATGGTATATAAAGCAGCAGCAATGCCACGACGGGCAAACCTGTAACTACCTGATTATCTTCATGAGCGCCGTCGCTCATGAGGTTCCTAGCCCCATGAAAGTTGTCCAGGCCATGACACTCAACTCCAAGATCCAAAACCTAGGCCTGAGCAGTTTATAGCGTTGTCGGCCCGGTATCCAACCAGACAGCTCAACCGACCCAGAATCATCGCCGACCAGTCTCCTGCCTTCTAATCTCCTCCTGGAACACGTTGCGCCCACTAGACGGCGAGGTGGGCGACCAGCTGTCGCGGTCGGTGAGCTGGATACCAGGAAACTTGTCGTCTGGTAGCTGGTCGCCCGGCCCTGCGGGGCGGGGCGCGACAGGGTCTTGCTGTTGCTGCCCGGCGGCCCGCTCGGACCTGCTGCGGCGCTCACCGTAGCCGCCGCCGCCGCCGCCGCCGGTGGACCGGCGCTTGAGGGCGCCGATGGCGGCGGCGCCGGGCACGACGCCCTTCTTGCGCCAGCTCCAAAAACAGAAGCCGCCGAGGCCGAGGACGAGCAGGACGATGACGACGACGGGGACGGCGATTGCCAGAGCCGCGAGCGAGCCGCCGGCGCCCTTGGGCAGGCCGTCGTCGACGAGCATCTGCTCCCGGGTGATGGTCACGGTCGGCCCCTCGCCGTGGATGATGGATTTGGAGCCGTCCGGGGCCCCGAAGTTGATGCTCCACGTCACTTCCACGGCGGCCCGGCCGCCGCCGTTCCGCTCGAGGAAGTCGGCCGGCACGCTCCAGGCGTAGAAGCCGACGCTGGCGGGCATCTTGTCGGTCAAAAGGACCGGGCCGCCGTCATAGCTGACCTGCACCTCGATGTCCTGGTCCGGGTTGGAGCCGAAGAAGTCAACGTACCATGTCACTTTGGGCGGAGCGGGGGCCGGGGCGTTAGCAGGGGCGGCGGTGGATTCCTATTTTTATAACAAAGAAAACAAAACGGGGTTATAGGGGACGCACGGTAGTACGTAGTGCCTGGGTTGAGCAAGCTGCCCCTGTAGGGGGCGCATAAGGGGGCGTCAATGCCGACGTAGTGCTGGCACTTCAGCATGACGCCGCCGCCGGGCGACCCGGTCGAGCCCGACGGCGTGGCGGTGGCGATGGGGGCGCGGGTCGTGGTGGTGACGGCGGTGCCGTGGGCCGACATCCTCCACGTTTGGACCCGGGTCAGCTCGTCCGGGGGCGGCGAGATGGTTGATGTGGTCCCGCCCACGAGGGTCAGCTGCGGGGTGACTGTCCGCGCCGACCCGGCCGCATCGACGGTGATCCACTGCGGCGGCAGCTGGGCTGCCGTCTGCTGCCGGGCGGCCAGGGCGACGGCCGCGACTATGTCTGGGAGAGCGCACAAGAGCGCGAACGCCGTCGCTCGGGGTAGTAACAGCATGGCTGGGATGGGCCTGAGGACAACGGTTGGCTGTTGGGTCGAGCCGCCGGGGTAGGTATCCTAGTCCAATAACACGTGAGAGCCCCTTGATGCTAACGAGGCCTCGCTCTGGGAGAGGAATAGTGTGGACGGAAAGTTGGTGTAGGATTTCCAAGTGCGCAGGTGTATTCGGCTAACAGCTGAGCTACTCACTTTGCTGGAAGTTCAAGGCAGGTCCTCAACTAAAGGATGAGTTGGTGGTTGGAGAAAAGAGATCCCGCTGCTCAGGAGAACGTGCAATACATGCGCAAGCACAAGTTCTTCGGCCCATCGGTGTTCTTGGTGTACACCCTCAAGACAAAAAGGCAAGAGGCGGGGGAGGAAGTCGGATACTGGCTACCAAGGTGGGTAGGTAGGTACCACGCGGACTGGCTGATGCGCCCTCACTTTGCCACCATACCGGCAACTTGGGAGCGGGCAGATATCCCACCCAATATCCGACGGCAACCATATGGAGTCTCCAAGGAGCTAGTGACGCACAAGGGCACGGAGGGGCTTCATCATGGTGGTATGGGTAGCGAAAAGAGCGCATTAATCCCGGCAAAGGGTGGGTGGGCAGCAGCAACTCGGTGCCGTGAGCCTGCCAAGGGTCGGCCCATGGTGTGCTAGCGGCATGCATAAGGTAGCACGATAGGTAGGGGGGAAGTCTGGCTCGGCCTGCGATGGTATCCCGCGCTGGGAATAAAAAAACACCTACTGTGTAGATGCGGCCGTGGTAGCCCACCACAAGGGCGGGGTCTCGCTAGCACACCCGATTCACTGATCAGTTCCGTTGGTTGAGAGCACTTTGAATCACTTGTGATAGGGTTGCTCGATCGGCTTGCACGCCTTCAGAGGTGAGGTGGGGGGTTGACGGGAAGAACCCCCGCTTTTGGGGAACTACTAGGAGAGTTCTTGGCGCGGGACAGGAAGCAAAAGCAAAATAATCAAATGGAAGCGGAGGGAGGCACGCCCACCGCAAAAAAGATGGCAGTTCCTACGAGGAATAGGAACAGAAATAGGTATAGAAATAAGAATAAGAATAAGGGTAAGAATAAAAATACGAATAAAAATAGGAATAATAACAGGAAAAGAAAATAAGAAGAGGAAGGTTAAAGGCACTAATACTTGTACTCAATCTTTGGGACAGGCTCCTGTGAGACTGCCGTTTTTTTTGTGGTGGGCGTGGGAGGATGCTCAGTGTGCCAGAAGTGGCGTGTCAGCTGGATAAATATATTTCTGTGATGGTACCGCAGCCTCTTTCCTGAGCCTTCACTCTATCTCGTTGGGAGACCGCGACTACTCTCTAGCCCGTCCTCTTGCATGTACCTTCAAAATGCCATCCATTTCTTGAGTTGCCTACCCCTCCATTGGCCATGGCAAAAGTCACCAACACGGCACATGAAGCAATAATTTCATATTAGCTTCTAAGCCATGGCGGCTGAGATGGAGGGGTCGGCCTCGGCTCTCACGGATGGGGATGGATGCGGGGCACATGTGGTATCTCCTCCACCTTCCTGGAAGAGCGAAATGGATGGAACAAAACCGAGCAAATATCGGCCCATCAAAACGGGATCTCGGCATAGCTTCACGGTAAAAAATCGATTCACATGGCGCACTAGCAAGTGCTAAATATGTCGAGTGATCGGCTTTAGCAACGCCGCTCCCTCGCGGATCTTTGCCTAGAGGTCGCGAGGAGATATGGAATGTTGGGTCTGTACCTCAGCTCTTGCCTCCAACCTTGAACCGGCTGGACGGCAACGCGGTATCATTGACAGTTGCCCTGTAGGTCGCTGCACCTTCAGACATGGCCAGTTGTTTGCAGACCACATGCGCGCTCCACCATCTTGCAGTCGCCTTCGCCCCGTCGATCGACCAGCCCTCCACATCACCGTACCCGCATGTTACCTGGCCGTCTGTGATGGGCCTGCCCTGCAATCCTGCCATGCATGCCAAGCACGCACAGGCGAGCTGACCTGCACACGACCGTTAGCGGTAGAACGGATAGGAAGGCGGTTCTGTAGGCCCCAGGATCCCGTCTGGGTCAATATGGATGGTTGCCGCCTCGGACATACTGTGTCTGCTTCGGTCTGTTGAGCTGCCCCTGCTTCACCAACAGCTCCCTCGCCGCTTTTCTATCCTGAGCGGTTACTAGGAGTGGAAGCGGAGGCTAAGCAAAGAATTGGCCCACACTGGTACTAGACCGTCGTAGAAGCTCGTCCGTCTTATCGGGACCTTTCTGCGTACCTCCTCGTTTCTGCAGGTTATACGGACATTAGGAGCGGGACCAATCTTTGCGACACTGCGCTTGGTCAGCCTCAACCTCTTTTTTAGCTGGCATTTGTTTCGAGTTTAAGAGAAAATCACGGGACGGAAGTGGGCACTCCCAGACCGCTTTCGACACTCACGGGAGTAAAGATGAAGGGGACCTTTGGAGCATCGGCCATGGTGGTCGCCATGTGCTCGACGCTGGCCGCCGCCCAAACTTCATGCCGAAACGTGCTGGCCCCCGCCTACAAGCCGCCCGTGGTCGCGGCTGGGTGGCAGGCCCAGATCGTGGCCTCGGGCATGCAGAAGCCCCGGACGCTCGAGTTCGACAGCGCCGGCGGCCTGCTCGTGCTAGACGCCGGCAGGGGTGTTTTCCGCCTTACCTTCAAGGACAACGGCGGCACCTGCCTCGAGGTGGACCAGACCACCGTGGTCGTCAACAACACAGCGGTAGGTCGCGCTACAGTCCTTAAAAAAGGGGTAGGAAGGAAACGCACATGGGCAACATATTAACGGGCAGCGGCCCCTCGCCAGCTCAACCACGGCATGGCCCTCTCAACCGACGGGCGCACGCTGTACGCCTCGACCGTGCAGTCTGTGTTCCGGTGGTCCTACGACGCCGGCACGGGCCGGGTGGCAGCGGGCGGGCCGCAGGAGGTGGTGGCTAACATGCGCAACAACGCGCAGACGACGCGGACGCTGCTCATGTCGCGCCGCGCCGGCGGCCAGCTCGTCGTGACGCGCGGCAGCTCCGCCGAGCTCGACCCGGCCGCGCTCAGCCTCGACTCGGGCCTCTCGCAGATTCGCGCCTTCGACACGACCCGCCTGGGGCCCGGCTCGGGCGCCATGGACTTTGCCTCCGAGGGCCGCCGGCTCGGCTGGGGCCTGCGCAACAGCGTCGCCGTGGCCGAGCACCCCGTGACGGGCGGCATCTACAGCATGGACAACACGGCCGACGGCATCGTGCGCGAGGGCGTCGACGTCTCGTTCTGGAACCCGGGCGAAGAGCTCAACTTCCACGGGTACCTTAACGGCTCGACGCAGGACCAGGGCGGCAACTACGGCTACCCGACCTGCTTCGCCGTCCGCAACGTCACCACCATCCCGAACAGCGGGAGCCTCAAGGTCGGCGACCAGTTTGGCGCAAACACGGACGGCTCCAACAGTGACGAGGCCTGCGCCGCAAACTACACGGCGCCGCGGCTGACATTTCCAGCACATTTCGCACCTATGGACATAAAATTTAACCAGGACGGCAGCACTGCATTCCTGAGCTTTCGCGGGTCCTGTATGTTGCTTATTTGCTCTGCCACTCATACGGGGGTAGCTGGTGACCCATGTTTATTCTTCAAAACATGGTGGCGCGCTAACAACAAAACCTATTACGTTAATAAAGTGAACAAGAGCAACCCTGTCGGTTACCTCGTTGCCGCGGTCGACTTCGACAAGGACCGTGGTGAGCCCACCGCCGAGAGGACGAGCGTCACGAGCCTCAAGCCCATCATCTCAAACGACCTCGTGGGCCAAGGCCACACCTGCCCGGACACGTGCATGCGGCCTGTGGGTATGAACTGGGACTCGAGGGGCCGCCTTTGGGTCGCTGCCGACTCAACGGGTGAGATCTACGTGCTCGAGCGCCAGTCCGGCACACCGACGGACTCGGACTCGGGCGTCATGGTCACCAAGCCTGCCAACAGCGCCGCCGCCGCGGCGCCGTTTTTGTCATGGATTTTGGCTGTGTGTATGGCTATGGCCGCCAACACGCTGTTGTGAATGCTGCGAGCCGCTTAGAGTGGCGGGTTGGGGAGGGGAGGCCGGGAAGGGCCAAAGTGGCAAAGACTTGTGAGAGAAACCGTGCAATGCTACTAGGAACAACAGTGATCTGCAACAAGCAAATGAGTATATGATTTGTAAATTGCTCGGACGCAAGCTGGCATCTGCTAAGTGACATTCTAAGCATGGAGTGGAAAGTCAGTCCAGGCTATAAAGCCCTGTTACCTGACATGTTTAGATGACTAGAAGCGAGTCCACAGGGGCAACGGCAGCTCTCGTGGTCCAAGCGGGGTCTTCTTCTTGCCCTCCGACTTTATCTCGACGTATACAATTTTCCGAACCGGAGTGCCCATGGTGGCCGTGTGTGAAGAAAGGCCGTAGTAATCCGAGATGGAATGCGTGAGCCATCGCCTATTTTCCACAATGTTAGCAAGTGTCGTACCAAGGGGGAATTACTCTGGGAAAGGAGCCGTGGCCGCGACTGCCCCTCACCCCCTTATGGAACTGACCTGAAAGAGCTGCTTTCGTCGTCGCCAAACGAGTCAAGCGCGATGCCCGAGTCCAAGGCACGTCCGCCAGGCACCTCGCGATGGGCCTTCTTCCACCCCGCGCCAACGCCCGAGGTCTTTGGCGCCGGCGGGGCCGCGTTCTGCCTCCCAACGAAGACAATCTCTTCGTCTTCCGAATCCAGGCCGCTCTCGCCCGCGCTGAGGTCCGTGGCGGCCTTCTTCTGTTTGCTCTCGGCGGCGGCGCGCTGAGCCTTGGCCTCGGTCTGGACCCGAGCATGCTCCTCAGCCAGGAACTGGCGTATGGGCTCCTCCAGCTCGCGGATCCACTCGGTAAGGACCGGAGTCCGCTTGGCCCAGGCGCGCAGGTCGCGGGTGACGTGGCCGACCTGCGGCTTGGGGACCTTGCCGCCGCCGGCCTTGGTGGACTTGGCGGCCGCGGCCCAGAGGCCCGCCGTCGCCCACTGCTGCTGCGCCTTGCGCCGCATGACGAGCCGGGCGCGCTCGTCCTCGACGTGCTCACGCAGGCCGCGGTCCCATTCCCTTGCGATGTGGTAGGGCACGTGGTCGTGCACAACGTACGTGGGGCCGGCGACCAGATCGACGGGCTCGAGCGGCTGCTGGGCGCCGGGGATGTGGGCCAGACGGTCGTTGTCGTACCGCTGGCGCCTCCGGTGCGAGAACTCGCCTTTGAGCACTGCGTCACGCGTGCGCATACTATCACGACGCGAACGGGACCGGCGAGGCGGGGCGATGTTCGCCAAGCCCGGTTCGATGGAGACACGAACGGCAGCGGGCTTGGGAACGTACACTGGCTCTGGTGGCGGACTGGACCAATTGTTGTCCAGCGGGATGGTGAGCGACTCGCCAGTGCCCTGGGCCACGGGCGAGACACTCAGGGCCTGCAGGGCCGAGACGGTCCATGATTCGATATCAACCGAAGCCGTCGAGGCCACCGAGGCTGTGTGCTGGTGGCCATGGATGGCGTGTGAGTTGGCCGCCTCGGTGTTAGAGGCGGGCTCTGGGGGAGGAATAGCGTTGAGGACAGCCATGGCGTTTTCTGGAAGATATCGAAGGCGCTTGCTGAATCAAACCAAGATATTCTTATTTCCTGTCAAGAAGGTGTGGCCACGAACTAACGTACAGTGGCCCGTTCAGTGCATACAACTGTAGAGGAACGGAGAAAGAACGACAAAGAGTGACGGAGATGGCGTAAACTTTACGTTGGGATTAAAGATGTGTAGAGCGCCTTCGGGAGATTTAGCTGCGTCTGAAGCTCGCAAAATGCCTATCAAGATTAAGCACAGCTAGCCACAGAACTTTGGATGATGGCTGATGATTCTCGATGACAGGTGTTACAGTCATTGATTGAGGAGTCGCACCTGGAGCTGAAGCGCCACGCGGGGCCGGGAGCTCTTTCCCGAGCTCCATGCAGCTGATAACCATGGAAGTTGGGCCCTGTCTAGCTTATGTAATGGCGGGCAGTTGCACCCCCCACCACAGCCAGAAGCTCCTCCCGCAGGTGGAACTTGGACCTGCATTTTCGTTTCGCGACCGCGTCCTGGCTGGATTGAATTGGAGCGAGCGCGGCTTCGACAAATCCAAACCAATCCACAATCCAGCCTTGGACCGCCCGCCAGATATAAGTCTAGACTTAACCCCCACCACCCAGAGCTTCAGCCCCTCCGTTGCCTCCTCTTACGAACATCTTCAACTACGGGTCGGTACTCACAGGGAGTCGTCACAATGTCGGGCGCATCGGGCAAATGGCGCGAGGACCAGGTCCTGGTCATCTGCCCGGGGAGCAAGACCACCATGGCCCAGCTGGGCTGTGGCGACCTGACCCCGCCCGCCCATCGCATCCCGACGCGCATGTTCGGGGACGACGAGTCGGACGGCTACCGCCCCTTCTTTGTCGAGAAGCGCAAGAAGGCGTCAGCGGGCGGCGCCAATGGCGTTGACCAGGCCGACGAGTACGAGTACATCGAGGACCCCGACTCCGACGAGGGCGCCGTATACCCCATCAGGGCCGGGCGCATCGTCAACATGGCGGCCTTCCTGGCCTTCCTGGACTACGTGCACGGCCTCCTGACGACGACGTTTCACAACACCCCGATAATGCTGATGGCGTCGCCACAATGGACGCGCCCGGACTGCGAGGCCATCGCGCGCTACATCTTCGAAAAGACAAAGACTCCGGCGCTCTGTCTTATCCACAGCGCCGTCGCTACACAGTACGGCCTGAAATGGCCCAGCATGACGGTCGTAGATATTGGATTCGAGAAAGTCGACGTGACGTGCATATACGACAGCAAGGTCGTGGGCTACCGTCAGGTTAGCGACCCCCTGGATGGTGAGCCCGGCGAGGCCATCTCGGGTGGTGAGGTCTTCACGCGCAAGCTGCTTGGTCTCCTCAAAGACAAGGAGTTCACATACGAGATGGTCGAGCAACTCAAGAAAAGCCACATCTGCGAAGTCCTCCCCTACGTGCCCGATGCGCCGAAGCTCATGGAGCTCCCCAAAGAGAACGCCACCCAGGCTGCCAGCGCAGCGCCTCCCCCCAGCACCGTTATCCAGGAGGCCCAGGACGTCCCGGACACGCTCGAGCCGGCGCGACCCCCACTACCCGTCCCGGATGCGGACGAGGACATGGGGACCGGCGATGACAAGCCTGCTGAAACAGACGACGGCGTTCTCGACGTCGCCAGCATCGTTACCAGCGGCCAGACAAAAGAGTTCCTTGCCAAGAAGGAGAAGGAGAAGGTAGAGAAGATAAAGGCCAAGAAGCAGGCAAAGGGTCAGGAGCCCGAGGCAGCGGCCGGCAAGGCCGCCCGTTTGCCCAACTCGAAGCGAATGCGCAACATGTTCCATTATGAGGAGCTCAATCGGGAGCCGGCTCCGGAAGAAGTCGAAACAAACGCCCAGGAGGTGGCCAGGCCTGAGGCGACGGCAGCCGCGACAGAGCCTGGTGTGTCGGAGCCGGCAAGTGGAGATGTCGCTGCCTCGGCAGAGGGCCAGACGAAAGCGGCCGCAGACGATTCCAAGGACCCAGGCAACGATGGTCAAGAGAAGGCTCCAGAGAAAAAACCAGACGCCCCCATGTCGTTCTTCCCTTCGGCAGAGCCCCCGCCACCTGCGGCGTCAAGCACTGAGCGCGCCGTCAAGCGGATACGACGTGACATCGAAGTTGGCCTGGAGAGGTTTACGTTCGCCGACCGAGCTGAGATCGATCGGATTGTGACGGCGATATACCATGCAGTGCAGGGGATCGAAGACATGTACATGCGGCCCTCATGCTGGGAGCACATTGTTTTTGTCGGAAACGGTGGGCGCCTCCGGGGTCTGAGGGAAAACATTATCCAGACGCTCAACGCACGGCACTTGGTGTCGCCCAGCACGGCCACCATGTTTACGTCGGAGCTTCCGTCGAACCTGGGCACGCCGTCCGGAACGGGCTCGCAAACGCCCGTGGGCAGCTTCACTGGCCCACCACACCAGCTACCTAACGCTTCGATGGCGGGACCGACATCGTCGGGAGTGAACCCGCTCCTTCGCGATGCCGTGACAGCGGCATCGCTGGGTGTTTCCGGCGGCGGCATGACTCCCGGTATGCATACTGCTGGATCCAATGCCGGCGATGCAAACAACGGCGGAATGGTCTCGTCACACTTCCACAGCCAGACGCCAACAGCTATCAAGCTGGCTGCCCTGCCTGCCTACCTGGGCGAGTGGACCAAGAACGGGTACGAGGAGGCCATGTTCTTGGGTGCCCAAGTCGCGGCACGTCTGGCCTTCTGCATGCACAACCTGAACGGCGCCGAGGTCGACGCTCAACGGCTGATGAGCCTGAATCGTATCGAGTTCAAGTAAGTGATTTCAGAGCCTGCACCAAGATCACCCACCCGTCCAACTGGCCGGAAGTTCTCGACTTCGTTTGAAGCTAGGAACTCGATGCTAACTGTCACGTTTCCAGCGAGTATGGCCCCAAGGCGATCCGGACACATTCTATGCTGGGTTGGTAGTCACAACGTGTATCGGCACCAGAATTGTCACAACATGTGTCGGCACCCGAACCCGTCACAAAAGCCACCAAAGCCACCGAAACCATCGAAACTACCAAGGCTACCAAACCAACCAGGAAAAGGGCGATGGCGACAAAAATAAAAGGCAAGAGATTTGTTCGCGGAAAATGCCGAGCTGCCTAGCTTCACATCCCCCCGCCTGCATATATGTCTTTGCGGGAAGTCCAGTCTCTAGGAGTTTGGTGACTTTGCGTCCTGAAAAAGTTGGCTGCGGCGGGACTGTCTGGCTTGGGGGTTGGGAGTCATGGGTTATCTAAATATTTCTTTTGGAGGAAGCACTTACCAGCCGGGAGAACACTGGTGAGAGGACTCTTTTATTTGATTTTCTTCGGACAGCGGTTATCTTGACATGTGTCTATGGCAACCATATCGTCTCTGGAGTATGGTCCAAGCACAGCGACCACTTTGTTGTCCCTCATTTTTATTGAAACAGAGATCCAGACATTACTGTTTGCAATTCCCTTTGGATGTCTCTTCACAAGAGAATTCGGTGAGGCATTGTGGACCACGAAAGACAAGCGGGAGTCAGGGGTGCTGGGCGCATTGAGTGTGACTCATTTTGTTCGATACCAGTTGAAAGCTGTTACCACAAACATTCCTGCCCCCAGGAACCCAACTGGAGATTCCTCTCGTTCGTCCCGACGGTCATACCACACCGACCTTGGACAACCTGTGCGTGCACCTTGACAAGACGTCGTGGCAACCAAAAAGGAAACCACAATGAGCGAGCACCGCCTCATCAGTTCGGGCTCGGCCTTTGAAAAGCAGATTGGCTATTCCCGCGCCGTTGTATCGGGCGAGTGGGTGTTTGTTTCGGGCTGCACAGGGTAGCCACCCCTTTCCTCCGTCTTCTCCCCAAGCACAGTCTCCGCCGCCACTTTGCCGCAAGCCACTGATGACACGGACCAGATACGACTACGCGACGGGCGTCATGGAGCAGGACGTGGCGGCGCAGGCCGAGCAGGCGCTCCGCAACGTGGCGGCGGCGCTGGCCGAGGCCGGGGCCGCCATGGACGACGTGGTGCGCGTGCGCTACATCTTGCCCGACCGGGCCCTCTTCCCGGCCACCTGGCCCGTCCTGGGCCGCTGGCTGGGCGGGGTCCGGCCGGCAGCGACCATGATTCAGGCGGGGCTGATGGAGGAGGCCATGAAGTTCGAGGTCGAGGTGACGGCTAGGAAGGGGAGGGGGAAGGGCGGCGACGGGGCGGAGGAGGCCGCCGGCCGCGAGGAGGCCCCTGTCTAGTGAAGTCGAGGTGGGCGAGAGTGGGAGAGAGGAAATGGAGAGGGCTCAGGGGGAGAGGGAGATGATGGGTCATGATGTTCGGGGTCCACTTTCATACCAAAGGTCGTGCCTGGGCCTGGGACTGTGGAATGCTCGCCGGCCATGGCACGACTCATATCCGGGCTTGCCACGCGAGAGGAGCGAGCCCTTGCGGGTTTATTACCCAACAAAGGGTAGACGTTTCGGAAGTTTCCGGCATCTAGCGGAGCCTGCAATCCGAGCACATAAGTGGCTCTCATTGAAAAAGCCGACTGGGTTCTGTCTTGGGATTAATGGTACAGGGTCTACTTTGTCCGCCAATGACATCCTCGCCGTAGCGTTGACAGGGTATCGGGCGGGCACTAGACGGGGCTCAACATCAGGCAGATAAGAAGACGACGTTTCTGTCCATGGAAGCTCGGAAAATATCCTTGCTCAAGACAGGAACCTGGTCGAAAGCACAATACCCGATGCAAACGCAGACCCGATCGTGACCATGCTCGATATGGAAAGCAGTGACATGCCGCTGATGCCGTGCCCTGACGTGCAGCCCCCCGCCAGGCGGGACCCGACTATCATCAGGAACCCCCCGAGCGCCGCCCGAGCCGCCGAGCCGCCCGCCGCTGGCGGCCCGGGTAGGGCTGCTGCTGCTGCTGCTGGGGCCCACCCCCTGCCGAGCACCCAGGCTCCCAGGGCCATTCCCGCCGCAAACACCAGCGAGCCGGTCTTGGGCCGTGGCTGCTTGCCCTCCTTGCTACCGGGGCGGCTGTCGGCGCCTGTAGAGAGAAACCGCCCCCACAGCCAGAGCAGATGGTCGGCCGCGTCCTCGAACGCCGCCGAGCTGCCCAGCATGGCTTTGCGAGCCAGCAAGGAGACGAGCTGCGCGGAGGCTATGAGGAGGCCACCGATGACGGGGTGCACCGGCTGTTGTTGTTGTTGTTGTTGTTTATAAGTCCCGGCAGAGCCATTGCTGTAGTTTCCAAGGCCCATCACAATCTTGACGGCGGCGCCGAGCGCCAGCTCCATCACAACCAATGCCGCCACGTAGCTGACGCCCAGGCTCTCGTACACCGTCAGGCTGGCCCGCCATGTATTCTCGCCATTGCCCCCGGCGCCGCCCGTCTTCTCGAGCCCGGCAGCAGCAGCAGCAGCAGCAGCAGCCTGCGCGCTGCGGCGCCGCGCCGCCGTCCACGGGCGCAGCAGACCGCTCCAGGCGAGGCCGCCCAGGACGCCGCCGACCAGCGCCCAGCGGCCCGAGGCGACGCCGAGCGCGGCCTGCGGGACCACGGTGCCCGGGCAGGCGCCGGCCAGGGCCATACCACAGCCCAGGAGGGCGCCGCCGGCGGCGTTGGCGTCGGCGCGGCCGAGGAGTCGGACCGACGAGAACCCGCGCGGCGGGAGCTCGGCGTGGCCTAGCCACTGGACTAGGGCGGATATGAGGCTGTTTTGTGGCGGCGGCAGACGGGAGAATTAGTAAATCCAAGGAGTTTTTTTCGGGATGATCGAAAATAAACAGGCACAAAACTTACACGCTACCGGCAGTGGCCGTCAGGAAGGACTGCATCATGTGCCAGTTCTGGAGCTTGAGCTGCGAGGTGATGACGGCGGGCTGATAGACGCCAGCTGCCGTCAGGGCCGCCCCAAAAGCTGCGCCCGACAGCAGGACGGGGAAAATGGACGGTTCCTTTGCCATCTTCTACCTTCCGCTGAGGGCTTCTGGAGAACCCCGGATGGAGTTGGTGACTGGATGGGTTATGTGTAAAGCCCGTATGGTCTGACTTTGTATACGCCCGGCCGAAAAAAACAAAGGATCACGAACAAAGGAGTCGAGAATACAGCAGACCCAGGCTGGAGCCCGCGAACGGCTTTTTGCGAAATATCGACGGAACGAATGTATACTAATATATTGGGAGGGAACGACCCCTTTTTCTTGTTGAAAAAAATACATGCCGGGATACAGTTGAAAATCCCTCTCGCCGGGCTCGGCAAGCGACAAGAACCTCTTACACGACGCAGACGGAGAGCGAACCCACTTGGACGCGAGAAAGTCTATCAAATGAATCCCGAAAAGACGTTGTGCGTATAGGTTATGTGTGGGGAGGAAAAGGCAAATTTGCCAACCTTGGCTGGCGTGCCGGGGGCTAGGTATCCCCATGTCTCCGTTCTTTCCATCTCCACGCGGGTCGCCGACCTCGCCAACACCCTCTCCCCGCCAATCCGGATCGCCGAGGCTTCGCACGGCTGTAGGGTTACCCGAGGGGGCGCCCGGGGATTTCTTGACGTTTTCCTGGCGGGACGGTGAAAGCACTAGGTCCTGCGTGGGGATCGCTACACTCGAGCCTCGGCGAACCCGTCCTTCATTCCTCCTCTGCCAAATGCACGGTGCTTTTTGCAAAACACCAGAAAAAAAGTCACAAGAGAGCCTGTCACGGACGCGCAGGGTCACCCGCTCTTCCGCTCTAAAGCAGCCCAGTGTCTCACCAGGTTTCGGGCTAGAGAAAAGCCCATGACCAATAGCAGCAACAATCCAGGATTATCTAGTCCCAAAAAGCCAGGGCAACATTACTGGTCGTGTAGATTGTGTATGATCCAACCTGCAAATCAGGCAGGAGCGCGTTGGCTGACAGAAGAACAATAAAAAAAATAAAAAAGATACCTTCATGTTGATGTACAGTCCACCATCCATACGTGATTATGGCCAGAACTTGAACTCAAGCCGGACCTTGCATTACTGCCATCCCGCCATCTGTATGTGCGTGCGGATGGAAACAGAACATCAGCTGCGGCATGTATGCGGCCAAAATTCTGTCAAGAAACAAAGTGAGACGAACAGCATCTATACCGCAGATGCGCATTAAAACCATCATTGCTGCGATTCCTGGGTATCGAAAGCTCGGGATTAGTCGATGGCGTGGCGACGCGATGATGATCCAGGGCGTCGCTCCGAGTCTTGTACTGCTTTAACAAGACCGATTGCTGTATATTAGCTTTGCTGCGTTTTTTTTAGAGTCGCAGGCCCGCCGGTTTTTGGTGAGCATTTCAGCTCTCCCTGAAGATGGGCTGCCCTAGTTTCGTAGAGTACACACTAGGACGGATCGAGCGTGCGTTCGCTCAGTCCACTTTGATGGCTCTGAGATGGGAGGGCGATGGATATTAGTAAATTCGCTGTCGAAAGTGCAGCCAGGATAGAATAGAGGAAACCCACCCATAAATCCTCCTGATGAAGGCATATGCGCTGAGGAATCCAACAGTGCCAGTCAGGAGGCCATAAACGCAGCAGGCCATGAAGCTGTACGTGAAAAAGAGTACGCTGCTCACGAAGCCGGTGATGTGCAGGCTCGTAAAATAGTACCATATGCAGTAGAGGAAGATCAAGACCGAACTGCTGCCGCCGATGAAAAATGACTGCCACCACCACTGGTGGTTCTCGTGGCAGAGTTGCACATAGATGGTGACGACAGTCACCTCCGCCACCGTGATAATGAGGATAAATGACACCATGGCCAAGAACCCGAAGACGTAATAGTAGCCGCTCTTGTCCTGCCATACCGACTGGAACACAAACAGCAGCTCTATAAAGATGACGACGAACGGGATCACGCCGGCGAGGAGGATCGACGCGAACCCCTTGAGGTACCAGGGCTGCAGGGGCACCTGGCGGGGCATGGCAATAGTCTTGGTGGGATGGTCCCAGGAGCCAGCACGGACGAAACCGTACCAGGAGCCGACATAGACGAGTGGCAGCTGAACCGCCAACCAGAGGAACAAGAGAGCAATCAGCGTGCCGAAAGGAATAGCCGTGCTCGAGGCCTGGGCCCAGACGAAGAGATTGACCACGAACACGACACCGAAAAGCAGCCCGGGGATAAGCAGCGCCGTGACGAGCGTGTTGCGGCGCCAGTCCTTGCCTTCGAAAGTGCGGTATATGCGCGCCGAGAAATAGCCTGCGAACGTGCCGGCCACGACAAAAAGCCCCAATCCAAAGCTGATGAAGCCACCCCGGAAGCTAGGGTTCAGCACGCCCAAAGCACTCAGTAGCACCAGCCCCACGGCCATGAACAGAAGCTGCATGCCGGACCCAACCAGAGGCGCGAGCAGGAAGCCGAGTGCGGGGGATCGGAAGACGTCGCCATGTAGCAGCTTCCAGCCTGTCACATCCTCCAGCGCCTGCTCATCCTCTGAGGAATGCACCTCGTCCGCATATTCGGCGGCGGCGGCTTCCTGTTCGAGCAGGCCACCGCCCGACTTCTCGCCGAGTAGCCGGGGACTCCGAGGCCGGCTGCCTGGCGACTTGGCGCCCTTGCGCAAGAGTCGAGACTTGCCCTCTTCGGCGCGGTCCTTGTAGCCCTTGATGTCGGTACGGACGGTCCTGGCCAGGATCATCAGGGTCACAGCGGTAAGAAGACAGCATATGACGAGCGAGTTGACGATTGCCAGCCAGTGAATACGCGACCCCTCCTCCTGGTTGACAAAGTACAGGTCCCAGCGCCGGCTCCACTCGATGGACGTGTCTTCGCGGAAGTAAACTGAGTACGTGTAGGGGATGGTGAGTTTCGCAGAGTCGTCGTTCATGTCGGCTTCCTCGGCTTGGTGGTATGGGTTGCCAGCATGAGCGGTGCTTGAGGCGGACGAGCGATTCGAGCGCATGAACAGCTCGAAGTTCTGTTCGATGCTGTGCGTGTCGGCGGGGCACCCCGAGGCATCGCGCTTGACGTCGGGCCCGACGCTTTTTGTGTAGACCTCGAACGCAACAATGACTTTTCCGCCTCGCTCCCCTGCCTTGCCAGGCGCGTTGCGATATCGAACGACGATGGTGTGGTGGTTGTTGGGGAAGTAGTGCGGCCGTCCGCTCGACTGGTCCGTGAAGCCAAGCTTGAAGCCAGATGCGTAGTACTTGCGTGACTTGTCCACTGTGACAAACGAAGTCGCCCCGGGGAGATTATCTGGATATGGCTCGACGCCCGCCATGGTCAGATAGGCGCTCGGATTCGCCATGGGCGTATGAATGCGGCATCTGCGCACTTACCAACAATCCACTCGACAACATAGCCGTCGCGGACCATGTCGACGGCCCGATTGAGTTCCCCTCTGCTGATTTCGCGGTTACAGAGGAGGTTGCAAGGCCGGTCCTCCATCATGGACAGCTCGAGATCCGAGTAAGCGATGCGGTCGCCGCGAAGAACTTCGCCAAGGTTGAGGGAGATGGTCTGCCCGCTGAGCAGGCCGCCATGGCGCGCGCCCGTGGGCGGGCAGACGAAGGGGAGGTCGTAGTAGGCATATTGGAGCTGCGTGTGGTCCGAATACACCTTGTTGACGAGTAGCGGAATCTCTTCCTTTTCCTTGTAGCTTCTTATCGACCAGCCTGCCCATGGGGAGAAGCGCAGTTAGCAATTGGCCTTTATACAAGGGCCACAGTTGACATGTGGATACAGCGCCAAGGAGGCCGATGGCAGTCGTTCAAGGCAGAGTGGTAGCTCACCTGGAATGTAGAAGGCATGCACTTCAAGTGCGAAAAGTAGACAGAAAAGGGCGAGGCAGCGCATGGCGCTGCTTGGCGCAGACTCCATTGTGACTGCGGCGCCTCTGCTGGCGGAACAAGCGTGAAGGAGAGTGAGGGCGACGAAAGCAACCGACCCCAACACGCGGCCAACAATTGAGTGTCAATGGCGGCGTGTATAATATGGGCTGGCCGCCAGTATTTCCAAGACTTGGGCGGCTCAGCGTAAGCCCATCGAGTGCCCGGCACTGGCTGATCGAAGTGGGCGTGCGGCTGGAGGGGCGGGTGTCGGAGCGCGGTCTGGTATTGGGGAGACCCGTTGGAGTGTGTTGGTCGCGTAAATGGCGAGTGGGTGGGATCACTGGGTGGGATGGATGGGCTCGGTTTGATCAGGATCAGGAACAGCAGGCGAACACCCGAGCTGAAGCGGCAAGGGGCTTGAAAACGAGCGTAATTGGCACAAAGTGCCGGGCCGGTCCCGAGCGAAGGTTGCGAGATAATAGAGGGTGCGAGCAACCAAGGTTTGGGCTCAATCGTGACCTGGCGCTTTCCAGGTTCCTCCCATTTCCCATCAGCAGGCAATCGCGGGTTATGACGAAGGGCGCTAGAGAAGTGGACTTGTATCCCGAGAGGTCAGTGCGGTGACATGGAAAGCTTCTGGCCTCCTGGGAATCACGCACACAGTGGAGTCCCGCAAAGGTGGGGACTCGGTTATTGGCTTCATGCAAGTAAACTGCAGCGTGCCTGAGGCAGGACGCGGGTCCCACCGTGGCTGACGGCGCCTGCATTGGGTCATTTTCTTTAGCCAGTTCCCGATGTGGCTCGACGCCGCTGTTTTAGACCCTCGCTTTGTCGTGGCACTCAAAACGTTTGCATTCAAGTGTCTTTGTTAGCCGTCAAGCCATTTGGCTCAGACACAGTTGGCAAGAACGCACGCGGCGCTTGCAGCACCGCTCTCGGCCTGCCAATCACCAAATGGCCTATGCCCATGCTTTCATGCGTGTCCAGAGCGCGCGGTGCGCCTGGGCGCAAGGGTGAGAGGCCAAGATTCCAACTGATGGCACAATTAATTGATGAGAGAAACGGGCAGTATGTGAAACGCAGGCACACGTGGGCACACGCGGGGACACCGAGGGCGGCACGGGTGGCTAGGAAGGATGACCGCGTTTGGCAACCACCCTATGGTTTGAGCCCTGCCATCAACACGCTCTCGTGGCTCATACCCTCTTAAGCCGCTTTAATTCAGCAGGCACATTAGATGAGTAGGGATCGCAGAAGTTCTTTTCACGCAGTGGCTTGATAATAGAGTTACCTCATCCAAAACCCTTTTCCAGACCATTTGTTGAATTAAACCGGCTTGAGAGGGTACGAGGAAAAGTCATCATGGACGCCCTAAGGAGTCGCAATATATCATGGAAAAGCTTCTGCATATGGCAATGGGCAGGTGCCTTGGTGCCAGCCTACCACGTGCCTACTAGGTCATTCAAGGTCATGACACCCAGGACGCTCCATGGCAAAAGCGGGCGTAGAGTTACTTCGTCTGCTGATTTTAGCTTTCCCTTTCCCACCAACTGAGTGCTTCAAAGCACAGGATAATCCTGTCCACGCGCTCCGACTCTCCCCCTGCCCAAACAGCGCCAGGCTTCTCGGGGATGCGGAACGAAACAAGTCGTGACCGACTCGTCATCGGTGTCCCTATTAACCGTCAGAACTCGGTCATTGCGAATGGATCCAACAAATGCCGGCAGGTCCGATATGTGCTGGCACTTCCCTGGCTGGTATATAATTTTGAATCCGAGCGAGGTAGCCACCCCCATGACAAAATCGTTGAGACCGCAAAATCAATTTTTTCCTACCAACTCCACCGCCCTCAATCCAACCCACGCACAACAAAGCCTCACAACGATGTCTAAAGAGTTTTCCACGCCTAAAAAAGCACGCGTGCAAGCCGTATGCGATTTCCTTGATACAGAAAAGCGTCCCTACAGTTACAATGCCGTCTACGATGGTTAGCCCCTTAGATTTTAGTCCCCTTTTTTTTTTTGCGGTCTCAACGATTTTGTCA